GAAACGTGTTCTGGGTGTTTCCGTTCGCAAGCTTCCCTCCCACTCCGTGGTGGGATATGGATTGCACCGACGCGAACAGCGAGAAGTCCGTCGCGTTTAAACGCTTCCGCAAACACGGTAAGGTCGAGGATTTCGAGCGGTATACCGACCTCGAGAAAACGTTTAAAGGCTTGATTAAAGTCAAAAAAACGCGGTTACTGGCGTCGGTTCGTCGCGTGAGACTTCCATGAGAACACTCTGGAATGTCGGCAGGAGAATGCGAAACGCGTCATCACCGATTAACGAAGACAAGGAGTACTCGGTGTCGGTTCAAACCAACGTTCGTGATCGTCCGTCGGGTAATAACGAAATAGATTCCCCGTTTTCGATGGTGGTATGGAAAAATGCTGTCCTGTATACGGAAATTGTTGGAGAAAATGATTCTTTTTCGTCTAGACAAATGAGTCGAGTCGAACGGTTTACTTTCAGATACGCAAATTGGATTTCGGAGAGGCAAAGGACCGAGCGACTGTCTTGCGTTGCTTTCAACTGAAATTCAACTGGCCTATGCGCAAAAACAGCAAATGGGTTCAGTTATCTGGGACATTAAGGGGGCTTTTGATTCTGTTTGTATCGATGTCCTTTCGGATAAACTTCACGATAGTGGGCTTTCACCAATTATGAACAACTATTTGAGCAACTTGTTGTCTGAGAAACATATGAGCTTCTCTCATGGAAACTCGACAACTTCACGAATTAGTTACATGGGTCTCCCCCAGGGCTCATGTTTAAGCCCCCTTCTTTATATTTTTTATGTAAAAGACATTGATGGTTGCCTTGATGAAAATTGCTCGCTAAGACAGCTTGCAGATGATGGCGTTATGTCCGTTATAGGGCCAAGTGCACCGGACCTGCAAGGGAGTTGTTGTTATTCACATCGTCGTGATTGTGCGCTGCTGAATTTGTCGATTTTTTATCACACGGGCTATCGTTATTCGTTTTTTTTTCCGTTCGGTATACCTGTAATATTGTACTGCTTGTTAGTGGAAAGTGCAGTTCGTTGCGATAATCGTCTAATTAGAGCATATTTTGTGTTGTGAAAACAGTGAAAAAGTTATCCAATCAGACATATTGTAGTGTATACTGTCTAGCATTGGACGATCTTGAGAATCCAATTCGACAGTGAGCATTCATAAGGGCGAATACGGGATGATCGATTCTCTTCATCGATTTTCTCTTTGCATTGCTACAGCTAGGCGAAACAATTTTCTAGAATTTGTTCAATGCAGAGTAGTAACAGGTTGTATTGGCTATCAAAAGCAACAGCAAACGCATCGAGAAACGTTAAATCTAGCGAGTTATTAAGAAAAGAGAAAATCGACGAAGAGAATCGATCATCGCGTATAGGCCCTTATGCATGCTCACTGTCGAATTCCTCTTTGCGTATTAGAGCATCTCCACCGCTGTTTCTAAATCACTTTTGGAAACTGAGTCAGACTTCCGCCTGTGACCAATGCGCTAAACCAGTTAAAAGCGACGAAGAATCCGTCTCCTGCATGGCCTTTTTGCGACAGGATGATTCACCTAAAGTGCGGGTGCAGTTTCGAACGCCTTTGAATACGGTTGTGTTTTAAGTTTGTTCTCTGTTTTGTGCGTGCGTTCACTCTCATAGTTTTCGGCTGCAATTGCCGGATTATCGCTGTCACTCTGCCTCCCGGACATTTATACGTGTGTGATTGGTAGTTTTCTCGCTTTCCGGGAAGTTTTAGAATAGAGCAAGAAAACGTGATTCAACATGTTTGCAAGCATCAGAAGAGATGTCGCAATCTGCGTTGTTTGATTTTCTCCCGGACCAGAAATTAGTGGCATCGCGAGTGATAATTTTTAATTTCAGTTTATTTACGCGCTGCAAGGTGCGTGAAAGAACTCGGCACAATCGGTGTTGATGTTGGCTCGCTTGTAACTTTTTTTGTTGTGTTTTCGAAAGAAATTGATCAAAATTGTACCAAAAGTGCTTCTAAACGTGTTTTGAAGTTGGGTGTGTGTGTGTGTATTCAATTTAACCCCCACTGGCCGGCAGTGGTATTATGGAAGAAATTTGCTTACAACAATCCTTGATGTAATAATTTAAAGCAAGTTTAGTCCGGGAGTTAGAAAGCGATAGCTCTACTGCAGATTCAGCAACCCATTTCAGAATGCCTGGTAATTCACGTCCATTCCGAGGTTACTTTCACATACAATAAGCCCCGCATGTAAACACTACCGTTATCATATGAATAATGGTACTGCAAACACACTTCCAGATTTCAAAATGAACGTGTTTTGCAGTTGGGTGTGGTAAAATTCGTGAATTCGCGGTTTATGTTCAGTGAAAATTCCGTGTCACAAAATTGCTCACCGAGTTTCCTTTTTTGCCGTTCGACGACGACGGGTTGCGAGAGAAAAATAAGCATCGGGAATTTGCTCCCGGATGTATTGATTTGGTGAGTACGTTCCAGTTGAAGATTGTTCTTATACATATCTCGATTGCATTTTCGAGGGGACGTTCGGAGAGCTTTGAGATTTAGGCGTTGTTGCATTTGCTGGCAGATGAGTTGGTCGCCGATAAGGGCCAGTAAGTGCTGCCAGCAGATGAATCAAGAGGTATTCGAAACAAAATTGAAAAGAAATGTCCATTCAAATCGATTTAATACAGTTGAACAAATTTCAAAACTATATACGTGCCAGATTTGGAAATAATATTTTTTTGAATCTGGAAGTGTGTTTATGATACCATTATCCATAATTGATAAAGGTAGAGTGAACATGCGGGGCTTATTGTAAGTAAAAGTGACCTCGGAGTGGTCGTGAATTACCAGGCATTCTGAAATGAGTCACTGGAGCTGCAATAGAGCTAACACCTTCTAACTCCCGGACTAAACCTGCTTTAATTTAAGGGTAATAAAAAGCAGTTTTCTTCCATAATAACACTGCCGGCAGTGGGAGTTAGATTGTACACACACACACACACACACACAAGTGCACCGGACCTGCAAGGACCATTGCAAGATACCTTAGACAATTTGTCTACTTGGGCTATGAAGCTAGGTATTTATATTCTCTCCGGAGAAAACTGAGTTGGTTGTTTTTTCTAGGAAGCATCATCCTGCTCAGTTACAGCTTCAACTAAAGGGTAGAACAATCACTCAAAGTATATCTTTCAATTATTTAGGTGTCTGGTTCGATTCCAAAAGCACGTGGGGAAAACATATTACGTATGTGAAACAAAAATGCCAACAAAGAATCAATTTTCTTCGTACAATTACTGGAACTTGGTGGGGAGCACACCCGGAAGATCTGATCAGGTTGTATCGAACAACCATCTTGTCGGTTCTAGAGTACGGTAGCTTCTGCTTTCAATCCGCTGCAAAAACACCTATCCTGAAGCTGCAACGGGTTCAATACCGTTGCCTCCGAATCGCGCTTGGCTGTATGCACTCGACGCATACGATGAGCCTCGAAGTACTCGCGGGCGTTCTCCCACTGACAGATCGTTTCGCGGAACTTTCCTTCCGGTTTCTTACCCGTTGTGAAGTAATGAACCCATTGGTAATAGAAAACTTTTCCTCAAACAAGATTCATGAGTCTCTATTACGAGTACATGACGCTGGAGATTGGTCCTTCTTCAGTCAATTCCTTTCGTGTTTGCCTCCAAGACTTTTATAATTCCTCTGTAAATTTTGATTTGACCATGTTGCAAGAAATCCGTGGAATACCAGATCACCATCGGTCGATGGTTGTTCCCTTAATTTTTGCAAACAAGTACCACCATGTTAATAACAATAAGAGTTTTTTTTTCCACAGATGTGTCAACTATAAACGCTTCCACTGGATTTGGAGTATTCAACGAATTTCATAGCGCCTCATATCAACTGCAAGAACCCTGTTCCGTATACGTTGCGGAACTAGCAGCCATATTCTACGCAGTAGAGCAAATTGCCTCACTACCATCTGATCACTATTTTATTTTTACTGATAGCCTTAGCTCGTTGGAGGCTATTCGATCAATGAGGCCGATGAAGCACTCCTCGTATTTCCTGACCGATATCCGAGCTAAATTGAGTACTTTATCTAACTGCTCCTATACTATCACCTTAGTTTGGGTCCCATCTCATTGCTCAATTCCGGGTAATGAGAAAGCGGACTCGCTAGCTAAGGTGGGCGCTATGGAAGGCGATATTTTTGATCAACAAATCGCCTTTGCGGATTTTTTTTTCAATAACCCGTCAGCACGCCCTCGCCAACTGGCAACAAAAATGGAATGAGAGTGATCTGGGAAGATGGTTACATTCTATTCTCCCACAGGTATCGAACAAGCCATGGTTCAAAGGATTGGACATGAGCCGTGACTTTATACGTATCATGTCAAGGCTCATGTCTAATCACTACTCGTTAGACTTGCATTTCTTCCGAATCGGGCTCGCAGGCAGCAATTTGTGCGCTTGTGGTACTGGCTATCACGATATCGACCACGTGCTTTGGTCATGCACCCTACATTGTGTTGCTAGATCCGAGTTATCCGAATCCCTCATGGCCCGAGGAAAACAACGGGCCAGAGACATCTTGGCGAGCCGAGATCTCGAATATTTTAATTTAATTTATGTGTTTTTAAAACGGATCGATCTGAGGATTTTGTAGTTAGTGTCATCTTGTGCTCTCTCAAGTTGCTAGGTCTCCATCGGATTACCCCCATGTTTGTCTTTTTCTCCAGTATGTCGCTAAGTTCTAGATCAAGAGCACATGCTCTAAAAAACCTTTCACCGCCTATTTCAATTGTTGGTCTAGTTATGCCTCAGAACATCGCGGCAGCGCCGGCTGGGATTGAACCCAGGCCTGCTGGGGTGAGAGGTTATCACGCTTACCACTACACCAGCGGCGCCGCTGGGTGGGAAAGCGTTGTTGTTACGATAAAAATACACATAACAGTAGGTATGTTGTGATCGTATGTAAAACAAATAAGAAAGTAATGAACTTGTACTTACGATGGAATGAGAGGGGCCGGAAGGGCTTGGCCACCAGGTCTACCCTGCGGTAGAGGAGGTGCGCTTCCTCCACCTGGCCTATTAGGAATGGCTGGTGCTGGTCTAGCACTCGCTGGAGCTGGTGGTGGACCTCGGCCAGTGCTAGCGGGAGCACCGGCTGATCCTATTGAGCCCTGTGAAATCTAATTATATATTAAAATGCTAATAACAATATAAACTATAATGCATCATAAGTTACCTGTTGCACAGGTACATTTTTCCGTGGACCCCCAGGACTGGGAGGTGATAACCTTGGATTATCAAGGCCACTAGAAAGCCAGTCGTTCTTTACAGGTGGTGGGACAGGGGTAGAGAATGTTGCCATTGAAACATCACCTAAGCGAAAATATAATTAATGTCGTGTTTTAGCTATATACATTAGAATCTAAGTTCATTCAACAAGAATAAATTCGTATGCACGTAAAGGTCATACCTATGATCCTGAGAGCTTCTTTACATGCGTGATACATTCTTAGCATTTCCTCTCGTTTCTGAGCTTCTTCTTGACTTTCTTCCATCATTGAAGCCTATGAATCAAATAGTATTGTCAAGTAAATTGTAGCACACTGGAATGTAACAAAGGTACCTGGTCGCCAGAAGCGTAGAGATGGGCCAAAAGTTCGCCATTGATAAAGTCTTTGCAGTTGTTAATAATAAGCATCATGATAGCTTTCGGTACCATATCGCGAGTAGTTTTTGTTACGATCTTCATGTATGAATCCACTAGATTGCGAATGGTTTCAACTTGACGTTCAAGTTGCGGGTCAAGGGAGCTTGTCTGACCAACATCGCTGGTTTCCTGTAAAACAAAAAGAGTTTTTAAGAATTTCCAAGATCTTATTCTATTCTAAAAAATGATATTAGAAATAAAAAAAAGCTACAATAACTACATACTAAGTTAGTGGAAGCACCGAAGCACAATAATACAATTGCCAATTGCCTATGATAATCTCAAAAGGGAAATCTGTCATTTGTTTAACTGAAGAATTTTGATGGACAAGAAATATATTTTGGATCTATATTAGCACTCACGCATTTGGGAAAAAACAATGGAATAATAAATATACATCATTATATTAATAACGGTTCCACACAACGCTATTAGAAATTCGGGTGGAAATTTTCACACACTAGCATGGTCCTACTGAACCGTTGGAAATTCTTAAGCACAACTAGCATTTCTTAAATCATCTCTTAGTGTCATTATGATTAGGAAACAATAAAACAATGGTATAAGAACGACTAATCTCTGTATGAACCAAGTCAGTTGCAATAGAGGTTTGGATGACAAATGAATGAAAAATTAAAGAGTGAGACAAAATTTTACCTTTGGTTTTGGTTGCTGCAAACAAATAACAATTGAATTATTTCTATTAGCGTGAAACGGCCAAGCAACCTGCTGTGATGATTAAAAACATTCTGGAAAATTGTTACATCAGTCGTAACAGATGCTCCAAAATATTTTCTACACCAAATCCGCACATGAATCGTGCAGTTTTGAAGAATTCCAAAATAATTATAATTTGTGAATTGATTTAATTTGAGTTGAGTTGAAAGTGTAGATAGGTATTGTTCACTTGTGTATAGGAAAAAATATAAATTTAGAAAAAATCGCCAAAGAATTTTGGCGCTGCGCAGAATTACCTTGAAGGAACCATATTTTCCGCAGTTAAAAAAATATTAAATTCAATGTAACTCTGGCAAAAAAATCTATTGGTATAGGAACAGTTGCTTGACATAATACTTGAAAAATGGTACTTGAAGTTGTTAAAACGCTGTACAGACTGGAGAGTTATAACATGTTATAACGGTTGTCAAATAATTGCAACACAGAAACCACCATCAATATAGCGCTATAACATGTTATAACTCTGTAGTCTGAACGTACTATAAGCGATCCCTTTAAAAAAAACCTTAATTATACTGAAAATCCGTAACTTTATGACATTTTCAATATACACTGTGTAACATTTGAGATTGATTCGATTATATTAATAAACTGATTTTTGATCAGAATATTTCCTAGAATGGTCCATTTCCTGAAATGCACTTTTCCGGAATATACCAAGTTCAATATTTAATAGAACATTCCCTTATTTATGTAGTTTAATAATGAAGAGAACATTTTCTATTTCACTATAAAAGGATTTTTTTTATACTTTTATAAAGAAGATAATGTTTCCATCTTTGAATATTTTAATTAAAATAATAAATAATAAATATAAATAATGTAAATTACTAATCCTTCTCTCTCTTTATACTGGTATTCCACTAAGACGCCCACGTTCATTAGGAAATAATAAAAAAAAAACATAACACCGGTGAATGGTACATGTACATTCGGGGAAAGTAAATTCCGGTAAATACCGGGAATTTGCATTCCGGCAAATTACTTTACTAGAAGCATCACATTCCGGGAAATGCCATGTCAGGAAATGACATCTTATTAATATTGCCAAACGACTATATGCCAAATGCCATTACGCCAAAAGGCATTATGCCTAACGGGGTAGACCCATTTTTACATGTTCCTAATTTCCGGCAAAAAGTTCTTAATTTGGTGAACTATTAAAATGTAATAAATTTTATCATTAACGATTGCTCACGATTGTTGCGGGTACATAAATTTTTTGTAATTAAGATAGATTTTGACATTCTCTGAACAGATTTAGACCGTGTTTTAACCATAGATTTATCAACCAAGCATAACCATGTTAAACATTCATTTTGGTTTTTCAAGAATATGCACGAACATAGAACAGTTTTATTTATTTTTTTCCTGCTTGATTTGTTTTCCGCCGATCTTGTTTTCCGTGCTGAACACCAATGCTACCGACGCCAGGGAGGCAGCTCCCACACCTGGACCCTACATATCGACCCATCAACTCATGAACCGGGCACCAACGGCTTTACTTCTTTTCCGAAGGAAGGCGTGATCAGAGATGTTATGCCTCAGAACATCCCGGTGCGTACGGTTTTATTTTGAAATTTAATTTATGATTTCGTTGATTTTGGACCACTGTGAGTTATCTTTATGGCATATGCGTTATTAATATTAATCTCTTTTTTAAATTGTAATCAAAAGGAGCAAAAATACATTATTTTCAAAATTCGTTTGATTTTGGCACGATGTTAAAACTGAACCCCGTGCCAAAAACGTACGGTTTTGGGATTTTGTTGCCAACATCAAACGGGTACTGTACCAATTTAATAATATCAGTTGATTCTTTTTTTCTCCAAAATAAAACGTGTCAAGGGAGATTAATCAGTACACATCTAGAGATTTCGAGGTTAGATCATAGAGTCATTACTGATTTAGGATCTCTTCGGTGAATGGGTTGTGTCTTGAACAGGGAAGCATAGTGGTGGTAGTTATACTGAATGAACAGAAATGACAGCTGATCGGCCCAGACGTTACTTGTCGCAGGCATTATATTCCATTGAGCTCAACAGGCGATGCATTGATGGTTGGCATGGCAACTACCGTTAAGATTGGAAGGGAGATATGGGGTGAACCAATGCTGCCAGTTTTTTTTTTAATATTACAATCTATTGAAGATGAACGATGCTTACGGTAGTAAGATCATTCATGGAACAGGTTAGAGATCTAATCAACCAAAATTATTTGAATAAAATCAAAGGTGTATGTAGGAATAACAAATGTAGTATAACTATGACGTATCAGAAATCAGGATCCATGAAACATGAGGGGAAAAAGGGGTTACAATATTCAAGAAGAGATACGAAAAACATCGAAAAGTGATAGAGAAAGAGAGAGAAGAGTATTCCACTACAGATGCCGATTATTCAACAGGACTCAACGAGAATCGAGATGACAAAGATTCAGCAGCAAGGACACAATACATAAGCGGTGAGATCTAACTGATTACAATTAGATATAAAAATATGAAATGCATCCTACTAAATACGTGGGATATGCTTTGATGATGGAAGTGTACCAATATACATTTTATATCGGTACTACGTGTATGCGGGGCTTGTTGTAAGTGAAAGTAGCCTCAGATTGGACATGAGTGACCAGGCATTGTGAAATGGGTAACTGAATCTCAACAGAGCTATCACCTTTCAACTTCCGGGCTAAAATTGTTAGCAATGGGATCAGTATAAGATAATAATAGATTATATTGCAAATATTTTTCTTCCATAAAACACTGCCAGTGGAAGTTGGATTGTATATACATACATACATACATACATACATACATACATACATACAGGATCTCTTCGGTGAATGGGTTAAGCCGGAATGTCCGAAGAAATTATCCAACTTTTAGGAATTGGAACAGGAAAATCAACGGATAACCCTTTCCTTCCCATGGTGGCACAGGTGATCGACAACTTTTCGGTTCATCTTAAGTTTGACAATACAATACAATACAGCAAAATGCTTCCCTATTTCTTCTTGTCGTTTGAACAGTTCTTCTAGGTATTGAAAAACCCAATTGGGATAAATGTGGAAAAACTTTACTGGCTTATCACTTTATGGAGGGCGATATTGTATGGACATTCAAAAACTGTACACGTAGCTGCTCAAATTACGATTCTCTCATGTTCAACAAGAAATAAGTAGAAAAATCTGTAAAAAAAGGTATCTGCCATTTCCCCTTAATTAATTTTGGTATCTATGACACATACGTATTTCGACTAAAATGTGCAGTCTTCATCAGTGTCTACACATTATAGTTCCATTTTTATATCTGTGATCTTGACATTTTCACCTAGGGGATGAGTACTAAAGGGAGTCAGATTTTGATAAGTCTTTAGTGGGATTGACACTGATGAAGACTGCACATTGTAGTCGAAATGCGTATCTGTCATAGATACCAAAATTAATTAAGTGGAATTAAATGGAAGATACCCTTTTCTTACCTTGGTAGCACAGGTGAATTATAACTTTTCGATCCATCTTAAATATTCAGCATTGATTTAATTGTCTGTGTGTGTTTATTGTTCTCATTAATATCTGTTCTTGTTGTTTCAGCAGTGCAACTATTGAAACACAATCTCAATTAAAAAAAAAAAAAAAATCTCAATCAAACTTTACGCATTTAACTTGTTGATTGAGAGATTTCTATACCTGTACCATTTTTGCCTTAATAGGTATAATGTTCGAGCAAGGTCGGTTAACAAAATGAAAGCAAATCGATATTAAAGTTTGCTGTTCCTATCATAATGAAAACTAATTTGGTTATCAATTGCTGCGAAATAAGTCTGTTTTTTTTCTTTGGTTTGTTTTTTCCGTCGATCTTGTTTTCCGTGCTGAGCACCAATGCTACCGACGTGCCAGGAAGGCAGCTCCCACACCTGGACCCTACCTATCGACCCATCAACTCATGAACCGGGGACCAACGGCTTTACTTCCCATCCGAAGGAAGGCGTGATCAGAGATGTTATGCCTCAGAACATCCCGGCGGCGCCGACTGGGATTGAACCCAGGCCTGCTGGGGTGAGAGGTAATCACGCTTACCACTACACCACCGAAATAAGTCTGATATCATATTAAACTTTCTGGATTCAGTCAAGAGTTCTCAAAATGAAAGCATCTTAACTCCATATTTTGCTGTTAACAACATGGTAAAAATTTAAGTCAATTTTACCTGTCGTTAAAATTGTTTTGTTTAACACATGTTAGGTCATTCGAAACATGTCCGGGTGAAAATTGAACTCCAGTCTTTCAGCGTGATACTACCCGAGCAAAGTCGTATATCAAAATACTATCAAAATGATAACAAATAATGTTTTTGAAATCATGTTGAAAACATATTTTAATATGCTACTTTTTTTTAAATTTCGGTTGAATTAATATTTTGATATTATTTTGAAACTTCTAAAATATATAACTAAAAACAAAATCAGATATAGATCTCATTTTTGTTATAATTACTGTTAACTCGACCACACGGTAGGCAAAATATGTTACTACGAACGCTTATATCAAAAGATCAAATTTAGTTTCATTTTGTTTTCGTTCTCTGCTCGGGTAACCATTTACGCCAGGCCCGTATTCAGTTAATTTTTTTTAACTTTATTTTTGAGATTTTTAGCCGCAGGTTAGTTTATCTCGTCCATGAAAGGTGGGACCTCAGAAGGAGGACCCCCAACAGAGTAGTTTTTTACAGTGTTTACTTCAACCAAAAATTGGTTCCTGGCTCGATCGTACAATTACACAACATATTAAAGACACAACATTAAAATCTAAATAAGACAGAGCTCCACACCGGGAGAACCGGGAGGGCCCCCACCAGGCAGAGATGTCCCAACAGCCGAAAGGAATTAAAGAAGACTAAACTTTAAAATACAATGCAGCATCTTTTAAAAAGCGCATTACTGCTGTCAGTGTGGAGGGATCATCACCCAGCATGTCGCGTATGCTATTTGGAAGACCGTAGAATTCCCGCAGGTTCTGATACTGAGGGCATACGTATAGGATGTGCTCGATTGAGGCTGGAGTTCTACAACCGACATAAGTCCTGTGGAACGGCGTTCCACAATATTCAGTTAATTATTATGAATGCAAAATCAGTAATTAAATTGGAAGCAGGATTAGTTTTCCATTTGATTCGACAGTGTAAAATTATGCTCTCAGTTTTGCTGCGCTAATCAATAATCCATACAAAACGAGATCAACTGGAGTTACATCATAACAGCAAATTTTGTTTTCAATTTTCCAGCTTTGCTCGGGTAACGGTACTAAGGAAGATCGATAAATTTTCCAACCCGAAAAATTCCTCGGCCGGACCGGGAATCGGACCCAGCCACCTCTAGCATTATCTTGCTTTGTAGCTGCATCATTACTGACTGAACTAAGGGAAGCCCCACTATCTATGAGCACTAATATCGGCCAGTTTAATATCATCGTAAATCAAAGGTGCATTTGCGGACCTTTTATTAAATTTTATTAGTCGTCGTTACACATCCCAATCATATGCTTCGTCTTTCGAAAGCCCGTCGCATTTGGCGTGGAATGGTATACTAGAAGATTCCTACGCAAACAGTTAACATAGCAAGTAAAATGTTGACCATACCATCACTATTGATTGATTAAATCTAGTACCTTGTACGCACCGGGTTTCACAATTTCCAAATAATTGCAACAGATCAATAAAAGACATCCGTTCACATCAACAATCCAATGAGCCCCTAAGCTTTATCTAGTTTCAATGGTAAGGAATGACAGCGCTTTGTCTTATTGTGCAGAAAAGTGGTAGTCTACGAAATAAAAGCAGGTCTAACACCCTATTTATATAAAAAGAGAGGGCAAGTGACGAACGTAATATTTCCTAGGAACAGTTGGGTACACCCAACCTTTTTTTACGCGGTCTTATTTTCCTTTTTTCCGATGTTTAAATAAAACTAAGCTTGATACAACTGGTGTCAGAAAAAAATCAAAGAAAAATATGGTACCTACAGAAATTTTCTAACTACACCACTGAAAAAGAAAATTGGAAAAATATACCCGCGTAAAAAAAGAGTTGGGTATAATGTAAGAAAATAATAACAAATAATTATACAATACTGACTGAGACTAATCAGGTCAGCTACTAACGGCATATACTAACCTCAGTTCCTTCATCCTGTAGAAAAGAATACAAAAAGTTAAATGGAATTGAATTATCATTATCTCAACAGTAATAAACTGGCTAAAATTTAGCGAAGTTTAAAAAGTATACAATATTTCTAGCCAGTTACTATAATAAAGACTTATTGAGTCTATTTATTTTAGGTAATAGAAGAATGTCGCCTTAACCCTCTCCTTTAAAGGTAGCACAGGTGATCCACAACTTTTCGGTTTATCTTGTCAATATATCATTAAATAGTTAGTACTTATTTAAGCTTTTGCGTGTGTTCATTGTTCTTGTTCATATGTATTCTTGAGGATTCAACGCTATAGCGTACGTCATTCCATTTTTCATTTCGACTATCAAAGCATCGCCCTCGAGGTCGCCCTAGTTTCTCTCCTTTCAAGTCAAGTCCACGTCAACTGACAAATCGATTTTATTCTCCCTCTCCGAATACCATGAAACTTCGCATAATTGTTCACTAGGGACAATGAACCACGTTTGTGTCAGAGACCACAATCGTAGAACATCAACTATTAAGTACAAATTTTGAACTTTTTTGTCATAAATAATTTATATTGTTTTTTTATGCAGAAGACATATTTTTTAGTACAGAAAATCGTTTCCTATGCACAAATCACATAAATATTGCGTGAAAAAAACATTTTACTAAAAGTGTATGCTTTACGAGTTTGGCCAATTTTGAAGTGTACATTGTGTCCATTGAAGAAAAATTAGAATTTTTGAAAAGCTTTCACGTACAAAACAAAATATTGATAGAATAAAAACGGTGGATCTACACTCAAAACATTTATCACATATCTAATGGATGAAATCCATGTGGTTTTCACATAGCTTTCCTGTGATCACATAGCAGCAAATCCCACCACAAAATCACATGGATATTATGAGGTCCATGAAATTCATATGAAAAATCATATAAAATTAATGTGATCGCATAAATGCTATGTGAAATTCAAATGATTTTCATTAATTTTAATTATGGATGAAAATCATGTGCGTTTCCAATGGAAGCTACATGAACACTATTTTCGGTGTAGGACACCGTCGCACAGTGGTCCAGAACTGTGAAAAGACGGTCAAAAATCATTATCTCGTGAAACTTGCATTTCAGATAATTGGTATCTTTGGGAAAGTTTCTGGATACGGAAATCCCGTTCTTCTGACATTGACAGATCAGACCCTAGAAGTGAGATCAAAAATTTGTTTTTTTTTTAAATTTTATATTCAATAGCGCTGTATTCAGTAAAGTTTTAGAAAACATCAAAACAAGAAACTTTGCTGAAGACACTAGGTGTCTATTTTTTTATCTCACTGGAATATGGAAAACCGCTTAATACAAGTTTGTACACCGGAGTCGCTTTTTACGCGGGTTTTTTTTTTACGCGGTTTTTTTTTTACACGGTTTTTTTTTACGCGGTTAGTGCCACTGAGTCGCAATTTACGCGGTACGTTTTTAACGATTTCTCGACAACGATACGACCTATCGAGTTGATTCCAATCACATTATCCGTTTCAAACTATAGGTAATCGAATGGCATACTTTAAAAAAAAAATCAAAATTTTTGGTGTAAATACAGAAATTTTTAAAATATGTCTATATGGACCATAGCATGCTATAATAACGAATGGCATCAAAATCCGATTTATAAAAAATGTTTAAGCATGTGAAAAATCAAAATCTCGGAAGTTTTTTTTACGCGGCACGTATCCCCCGCGTAAAAAGCGACTCCAGTGTACTTTATAATTAGTTGAGTTGCGTTGCGTTTCTATCGTCGTAATTCGTAGATTGCATACTGGAAACTGTCATATATATACTTCAACGCTCTTATTCTGATTGCTCAAGGAAACTATTTGGGAGTAAATAGCTTTCCAATCAGAGTTCAGAATAGGAAAAGCATGACAATTACCATTGCCGGCCACGCCCATCTTCTCCGTTACGGGGAAAGGAAGGATATTGTTGATGTGACATCTACTTAATGGGAGGGCAGCGACTCACCGACGCCCCAATAGATGCTACGGAGTTGGATATTGGGGTAGGATATGGGTCAGGATTCGCTTAAGCAGGCGATGCGACCATTGTAATGATTTTATTTAGGAGAAGCTTGGGAGTAAACCCACGATCTTCTACTCAGTAAGCAAAAGTAAGTATGTTTGTATTAGTTTCTATAAACTTCTACTGGTTTGAAATGTTCTACAAAGTTGTTCAAAGCAATTTGATATAGCTACACACAAAAATTCTTAAATTTTGTTCGGTACTTTTTTTTGCTGAATTTGGTCTGTAAAATGTCATTTTTACCGAATGTTTGGTAAAATTTGATGTTTTACCACATTCCAGCAATAAAAAAAAACTATCTGAATCAAATCGATAATAAGGAAACTTTTTTATGATCGATAGAGTGTAGAAGTGTCATTTTTTCATGTATTGTATCCAAATTCCCCATACAAAATTCAAACTAAAAGCGCCAACTCATGTTACATCCAAATGAGCTGAAATGTTCAGAGAGTGGGTTTCTCACTTAATGGTACACATCTAGGGGTTGGCCCGTGGAAAATTAGAACTTTTATTTTTGTGGGCCAGTCTAATGAGTCATTTCCCGGAATCGAGCAATCAAATGGGACCCATGCAAAGGTGATGACAAAAGATCTTAGAGATAAAGCACTTAGAATCTCTCATATTTCCATGAGCAAATATGATGAGTGCTTTACTGGCCTCATGGAGCAAATAGCCTCTACAGAACTGAGACTATCCGTAAAAATGATAGCCTAAGTAGACAAATTGTCTAAGTATCCTGTGAGGGTCCTTGCGGGTCGACCCCTTTGGACCCTGTGACAGACACTACGCCGTCATCTGCAAATTGTTGTTATTGATTAATGGAGAAAGACAACAAGCGTGGAGTTTGTCTAAAAGGACTTCAACCGAAACTAAATCAAAAGCCCCCTTGATATCCAAGCAAACAGAAGCCATTTGCTAAACTGGATTTCTGTGGAAAGCAACACGAGACAGTCGTTCGTTCCCTTACACCTATGGAAACCAAATTGAATATCTAACAGTAGGTGGTTCGTCTCAACCCATTTTTCCCAGGCGAAAAAGGATCATTTTCTGTAACAATTTTTATATGCACAACAGTATTGCAATGGGTCGGTACGAGCAATCTGACGCGGGTTTGCCAGGCTTTTTAATGGCTGTAGCTCTCACCAGCCTTCAATCAGCCGGAACAATATTGAGCTCCAGAAACTGACCAAACAAGTTCAATATGTGCCTCTTAGCGGCGTCTGGGAGGTTCTTCAACCAGTTGCACTTGATCCTATCAGTTGTAGAACATTTAAAATCAGTAGAAGTTTATAGAAAATAACTATAAAGTAAAAACTTGTATCAAGCGGTTTCCACGGAAATCGATCCATATTGCAGTGAGATGAAGAAATAGACACCAAGTGTCTTTAGCAGAGTTTCTTGTTTTGAAATTTTCTAAAACTTTGCCAAAGACACCGACCTTGAATATGAAATATTAGAAAAACAAAAATTATCTCCCTTTCTGGGGGAATAATCAGGGATCTATCAATGTCAAAAGAAGCGGAATTTGATATCCAGATTTTTTTCCGAAGACACCACTTATCTAAAATGCAAAACTCACTTGACCGTCTTTTCACAGTTCTGGACCACTGTGCGCTGTACTTTGTGGTTTGATTGCCGCAGCAAAATGGCTTACGTTTTGTATGTTTTACGTTCTTTTTTACATCAATTGAACAAGTCTCTGGACAACGTAAGAAACAGAGGTTAATATAGGGGTGATTGTTCTAAGTGTCACTCTTCAAGTGCGCGGTATTAGGTTCAATAATATATTTAACAAGTACCTACGTTTTTATTATTTTTATGGTTGTAAAAATATTGCAAATCAAATTTTTATAGCAAAATGCTATACAATACACAATCATATGGCGCTTAAGGAAGCATAAATTTCTGCAGGGTTGTGAGTAAGTCACAGAGAGTCACAATCAGCGTTTTTATTATTCGTAACCGTACATTCAGAATAAGCGCTCACGCTCACGAATCATCTGACTCGAATAAAGCGAAAATGACATATTTTATGTGCCAAACAGATACTTTACATTCGCTTCTTGTAATTTACAAGTACAAAGTATCATTATAACAACTAATGATTTCATAATTCAGAACAACATTGTTTATAACGAAGTGAGCGGAAGCAACCCTGAATCACTGCAAATTCATGTTTTGCTAACTGATTTAAACTTGAAGTGTTCTTAACCCCACGGTAATATGGCATGTCACGGTACTTGTAGACAGACTTGATGAAACTCCTCAAACTCGCACTTCGAGTTTAGGTGGCCCACACCTCGAGTAAATGGCGGCAGAAATTTAGAAGAAGTAAACAAAAACTCCCCGAGAGAGGAGCGTGTGAAAGAATCCTCACTCCCGTTTTATTCCCACTTCGCTAACAAGCTGTATGGACCGGTGGAATAATGCGAGTGAGGCTCCACGAGGCTCCATCAAGCCTACCTACACAGAACAGAAATGGAACTTCGGATTCAAAAGTGGCTCCTTATTATTTTTGTGAACACTAGCGCAACTAGAAGGCAAGCTTTGCCTATAGTTTACATGTGCAGCATACTTTGATGATGTGACTGCCCATAGAAAACCCGTGTGAAATGCATCCACAAGCATCGCTTAGTGAACACAAATTTTCTCCCACTTTTTGATACACTGATTCGTTCGCACTTCCACTTCTGCTTAGTTTTATTCCATTGAGAAATCCATGATCTCGATTTTATCATTAAGATTTGTCTTATCATCAATTGTATTGATAGGCCAATTCGACAGTTTGGAAATTACCTCCCCGTTTCTTTCCTTTGGATGTTTTTGGTATAATACTTACATCCTCGCCGTTAGCAGACGAATCTTTTTCTGGATAAACACCAGCTCGTAAAAATGATGCCTTCCAAGAATCGACATCATCGGTGCTTTCACACGACAGTTCCAGTTGTTTGTAATCCTGTGCAATTGAAACATTATTATTAGCAACAAAAATCTGACAACACAAGTTCGTTAGTTACCTTGTACACGTTGCGACCTTCAGGGTTGAAAAGGGCAAAAGTATGGCGTCGAGACATGAAGCCTTGTTCAATGTCTCTCAGTTTGAGTCCATCAAGTGGTAGCATATACTTCTTCTCCTTTTCATCTTCATCCTTAAACCAAGAAATACTTTCCGATGTTAAAACAAACCAGTACGGCCTGGAACCACCTGGAAAAGGTAATCAATTCATGAGATTTGAGATATAAATTGTGAATACAGTGATGTTCCAATACTATCCACTTTAATGTGCTAAACATTCATCATAAATGTTGCTGTCAGAGATTGTGCTACATTACCCCGAATGTCGATTTCCCGAACGCCATTACCCCGGATGCCATATTCCCGAAAAAAAATACTTATAATAAAAAAAATTGTCTCTAAATTTATTCCAAATCACCACGCTGAAATACTCACCAGTAAGGAGTTTTGAAGCATGAAAAAAATCATTAGACAAATGATTCATTGTCCTGACAGTTCGCTTTTAGTTGTAAGCAGCAGTTGATTTTGTTTTTTGTGTGGATCACGCGATAGCCTGTTATTCGATAACCACTATTTATTGGTCAGAGGTTCGACCACGAATGAAAATGGCACCTACAGCACCTTTTTGCTTCCTCTTCTCACAGTGTTGCCACCAACCAAGATGAATGAGTAATGTGGCACGGCAGTTGTACTCATAACACTCCTCCTCAACGTATAGTGCCACCATTCGATGACAGTCCCAGCATTCCTGAGAACTTGCTTAAGTGTCATTTTCTTCTTCGAAGCTAGAGCAAGCATCATGCGAAGAGTCGTATTGCTCGTGACGGGAGCGAAAACTTCATCGTAATCCTCGCCGAACCGCTGCGGACAGCCTTAAGCCACCAGGCGCGCCTTGTGTTTGGTCACCTCCCCAGCTGCGTTCCACTTCAATTTGAAGACCCAGCGGCACCCTACCAACTTCCGTCCTGCAGGTAACTCCATCAGCTCCCAAGTGCCATTCTCCGCATGTGATTTAAACTTGTTCACCATTGCTGCTCTCCATTCTGCGTTTTCCTTACAGGTTAATGCTTCCTTCAGATTCCTGGGTTCAACTGCAGTCTGTACAGTACCCGTTGCATAGGCCTCTTCAATCAACCGGCGCGATTCCTTTGTTCGGACGACCGGATCTGCGTGCGATTTCATCCATAGGAAAATCTCGGAACGATGGTTCCTCATCTGTCGCGCTGTCGTACTGCGTTGCATAAAGATCGGTATCATTTATTTCGCCAACAATTTCCTCGGCATCATTTGTAACGGTACCACTGCTCGTAAGGCGAAGACTCTACCGAAGACGAAGGCAAGCGATTTTACAGGTAGCTAAATCGCCTCGCCCCAAAACAGCTTTTCCATCTTTGAATCCGCCAACATGCACCGCATCATCTCAACGAGGTACCGATTTTTGCGTTCGGCCACCCCATTCTGTTGAGGTGAATATGGAGCCGTCCGTTGATGCACTATTCCATGATCAGCAAAATACTTCTGCAGAGACTTACTGCCATACTCTCCGCCACCATCCGATCTGATAGGATAGTGCCCAAACTGGTTGCGTACTGAAGCACAATATGTACTCGCGAATTTTCTCCTCGGCCTCCGACTTCTTATGCAACAGGTAAGATAACCGTATAACGACTATAGTCATCCACCATTGTCATGAAGAATCGACTACCGCGCGCTGTTGGCACCTCCATGGGTCCGCCCAAGTCCGTGTGCACCAAAGCACTAACGACTGAAGCTCTCGAAGATGAAACTTTCGGAAATGAATCACGGCTCAATTTGCCCTCACAGCAGGATTCGCAAACAGACTTTATGTCACAACGATCGACTTTTCAACCGTTTCCCAAATCATGCCGCACAATCTTCATTACCGCCTCCATGTCACGGTGCCCAAGCCGATGCCACAGATGTAAACAGGAAACTCCATGATTCGAATCCGCTAACTTGGCTTGCTCCGGAAACCGCTGCAGGTGATATAGGCCACCCTTACGTTAACCCACTAACAGCACATTTTCGTCTTTCAGGACTCTGCACCCAGTCTTATCGAACGAAACTTGAAACCCCAAATCAGTAATTTTACTCACCGAAAGTAGGTTTGTTGCGAGCGACGGCACATGGTACACGTTGTCCAGCGAAACGTACATCCAAACACCATTTCCGTTCACGGACACAAGCTTGCTACTTCCTGCATCAACCAGATTGCTGATTGCTTCGATTTGTCCAGCTTCTCCAGGATAGATGCGTCGTTTGTCATATGAGAAGTGGCACCAGAGTCTAAGTACCACAACCCGGCTTCTTCAGCTCTCCCAACAAACAAACACAGATCCACACTATCTTCTGCTTCAACGGCCTCGTTTGCCTTTTCACAAGCTGCTTTTTCCTTCCTGTCAGCCACCAACTTCCGGCAGTCTCGCCGAAAATGACCCTCATTTTTCTTTTCACTTTTAAATCTACTCTTCTCACTACCTCCACTCGACACCAGTGCTTTTTCTTCTTCTACACCTTCCTGCGCTCGACGTCGGCCTTCATCCAACAGTTTCCCTTTGACGAAGTCGACCGTGAGGTCTGCATCTGGTCAAATCTCCAACGCCACGATCAAGCCATCGTATGATTTCGGCAGGCTCGACAGCATCAAGGCTACGAACGACGGATCCTTCATTTCTTCACCAAGTGCGATCAGTCGAAGCCGCAACGACATGAGCTCCTTCAGGTGCTCTCCCATGTTGCCACCCTCCGGAGCAAACATCTGGCGCATGACGTGGATTTTACTCGAAAGAGATGACCGCTCATGGTATCCCTTAAGAGCGTCTCACATTTCCTTCGTCGTAGTGGTCTGCATCACGTGAATAAGCTGGCTGTCTTCCAGTTCCAGACCGAGCAGCGCCCTCGCCTTTTCGTCGTTTGCGAGCCACACAGCATCATGTTCCGCAGGTTTCCCCTAATATTTTTTTTTCCTTTGGTTTGTTTTTTCGTCGATCTTGTTTTCCGTGCTGAGCACCAATGCTACCGACGTGCCAGGAAGGCAGCTCCCACACCTGGACCCTACCTATCGACCCATCAACTCATGAACCGGGGACCAACGGCTTTACTTCCCATCCGAAGGAAGGCGTGATCAGAGATGTTATGCCTCAGAACATCCCGGCGGCGCCGACTGGGATTAAACCCAGGCCTGCTGGAGTGATAGGTAATCACGCTTACCACTACACCACCGGCGCCGTTTGTTTCCCCTAATAAACAAATACCATAAATGAACTGTATCCCGGATGGGTAAACTATCCCACAAATGTTTTGGATGATACCCCGAATACGTCGTTAAGCTCTCTTTTATGGTTATTTTTATTAGGGTCGGCTCCGACACAACTTTAAGCACTTTTTCACGGGACATTAGAAGCTGCATTTTGAACTTCCAGATTGTGTAGTTCTGGTCGCTCAGCTTCTCAATCGAGATGTGTGATTCCGCCATCTTGTTTTGTGCAGGCACGAACACGTTCACTCCCGACTTGTTTACTTCGCAAAATCCACTTTTTCCGCAACGATGAACCGCAAAACTCGACACTTTCCACGATTAACTGGGCCCATAACCTATTGGTCAGAGGTTTAGTTCGTTCACAAACGATAAAAAGAAACTTTATTCAAAAAACGATGTTAACACTTCGAATGTTCGACCACGAATGAAAATGGCACCTACAGCACCTTTTTGTTTCCTCTTCTCAAAGTGTTGCCACCAACCAAGATGAATGAGTATAAGGTGGCACGACAGTTGTGCTCATAACACTATTGACGCTTTGTTGATTGCCAATAGCTCGGTCGCTTTTGTGGCTGCCGTTAGAAGCGATGTGTGTGAAATAAAGAATACCATCAAGTTCAGCATCAACAATCGAAGTGAAAACCAAACATTGGCGAAATTGTCAATTTCGTGAAATCACTAGATGCGTACCCGGTTCAAAAGGAAGCTACTTATCGGATTGATAAGGGGAGGAAAGGACTTTGCATAAAGTTCATTTCCGAAAAATTGATGCTCCATGTATGAACTTTTCACTTGGAGATTTAATTTTCCATTATACGAATGGAAAGACAGCAGAGGTAGAGGAAAGTGGGGCACCCTAACGAAACTCGAATAAAATTACACAATTCTTGCGAGAATTTTTCTTCTATATTTCTATAGACCCTTCAAGGGTTGACCTATGCTTGAAGAACAATCATACAGTTAAAAGTAGATAAAAGTTGGAAAAAAAATTTAATTTTTTCAGGCACAATTTACTACTTATTGGGAAAATGGGCAGTCCTAAGGGGCAAAAAGAGCACCAGTATTATCGTTCAGGCATAAATAGACTTTTTGTCGAAAATTAGGTAACTACTGTAAAGTCCCTATAGTTGAAGTTATTTTTTTTTTCAAAGTTCATTAAAATAATACAACCTGTCAATAAGTTTAATTAAATTTAACTTGAACCTAGAAATTTTTTCCTACATGTTTTATCTTTTAACGTTAGTCTTTACTGCGCTTTTTTTCCTTTATTATAGAGATTTTTAGCCATCTCTTAGTCTTTACTGTGCTTTATGTTAAACTATCATCACTAACTTGCTCAATTTCGTTGTATTGTTGTTTATGGAATGAATTTAAGGTATTGTTACCCTTATAAAAATTGATAGCATTCATTTTGCCCATTCAAGGCCAGATTTTTGAATCTACATAATATAATTTATTAAAAGCAAATTTGAATATTGCTATTGTATAGGTAACCAATGCTCAAATAAAAAAGGTTATTAAAGCATATTTATCCCTTAGCTCAGCCGGTAAAGGCGCAGCTACAAAGCAAGACCATGCTGGAGGTGGCTGGATTCAATTCCCGGTCCGGTCTAGGAATTTCTCGGGTTGGAAAATTTCTCGACTTCCCTGGGTATAGAAGTATGATTGGACTTGCCACACAATTATACCAATACAAAAATGGTACTGACTCTCAATTAATAACTGTGGAAGTGCATCTAGAACACTAAGTTGAGAGCACGCAATAAGCTAATATTCGATATACAATAAGCTTGAAATGCGAAGAAGAAGAAGAAGAAGAAAGCTTATTTTAAAACATCAAAATAGTATATCACATTGGGCTTTATTACGGGTGTCACTACACGGTGATAAGGAAGTGATAAAAGTTGGAAAGTAAACGTACAGAGGACCATGTTTTGCAATACCTGTAAATATTTTGTATAATTTTTAAACCCTTGTATCCCAAAATTTAGGAAAAATGCTTAAAAGATCAAACAGCATCAGAATAACCCGGAGCGGTTCAATTGAATATTCTACTACACAAAAATAAGATTAAAAACAATTAGATTGGTCTCACCCGATATTCTTGAAATACTTGACGTTTTGAATGAAACATCAATATTTCCAGACTTAACAACACGAAGTTTTTTTTCTTGAAGGTCTTGTGTTTATTTCTTGATTTGTCTTTCGCTTCGTATTTCTAAGAAGTGACTCTATAAATAGATAAAAAAAAACAAAAACAACGCTTCCCGCCCACAAGAATCTTTGTGATGATACTTTCCAAACGTGCATACCCATAAAAATAAATTCAATTCAATAAAGGATTTATTAACAAAAAAAAAAAAAAAAAAGATACGGATGATTTCTACTGTGACTAAATCCAGCATCAGATCAATAAACAATGTATGGCGATGATTATTCTGTTAATATGCTATTATAAGCGGGTTCAAATGCACTTTTGGTAAGCATCAACACTGATCTGGCAACACTAGTTTGTATCTTTCCAATGTGGTAAAGATCCAGATCAGCCCTGGGGCCTGGTAGCCTAATTAAACTACCTCTAGGTTTTGCCAAAGTCCAGGGACAAACACACCATCAAAGTATTTCTCAACACTTTTGCAAGATATGGGCTACCGGATGTTCTAGTCACGGATGGAGGACCTCCTTTTAACTCCTTCGATTTTGAGGAATTTTTTGAAAAACAAGGGGTGAAAGTGATGAAGAGCCCGCCGTATCATCCACAAAGTAACGGACAGGCCGAGCGCATGGTTCGTTTGGTGAAGGATGTCTTCAAGAAATTCCTTTTAGATCCAGAGGTGAAAAGATTGGATACGAATTTGCAGATATCTTACTTTCTGCTAAACTACAGAAATACTTGTTTAGAAGATGGGAGTAATTTTCCATCTGAGAGACTCTTTTCATACAAACCCAAAACACTATTGGATTTGATCAACCCCAAGGCTAGCTACAAACACAATTTTACTAAAATGCATGATGATCCTCCTTCCACTGATTTCACAACCACTGACAACTTTAACGATCAGTTTGTTAATCTTAAGTGCGGTGATCTGATTTACTACAAAAACGCTAACAAAACTGACGTAAAGCGATGGCTGCCGGCTAAATTTCTAAAAAGAATTTCTATGAATGTTTTTCAGATCTCGCTCGGTGGCAGACTGATCTCGGCACACAAGCAACAGTTCAAAATTTCAGATTTTTTTTTTTTTTTTATATCTTTATTAAGGAGACTTTTAGCCGTTGGCTGGCTCGTCTCCGACAAATTTCAGAAGATTCTCGCCGGAAAATTAGTCCTACTTTTGTTTTCCGTAGAGAGAATGAACGGCACCGCACCAGTAAACGAAGAAGAGAAGAATACATTGAGGATGTCGGAGGGGTCTCTGACTCTGAACTCGATTTTTATGGATTCTCTGCGGATTCATTAATCTACGGAGAAGAGAATCCAATCGATAATCCTGTTACAGAAGTTAACCAGAGTCCACTGGTAGTCAGAAGATCAAATAGAAATTCCAAGAAGAAGAGAAAACGAGATTTTGTGTACTATTAAGTAGAAGTCGATGACGTCAATAGGATTAAGTATATGTTTTAGAAATAGTGAAAAAAAATTTAATCATAAATCATATAACAAATCTCCTTTTCCCTCTCCCGATCTAAACAATTGTCATCCACTAACCTCGAGAAAACCGCGAGTAATCGGGTAAAACCCTTTAATTTTAGATTTAAGACATTTATAATGTATAAAGAAAATGATAACTTGACTCTGTAAAGTTTATTCAATTGAGCCTGTACAAATAAAGTAATAAACAAAAAAAAATCGATTAAGGTGATTTGAAAGGTTTTTTTTATGAATCTATTTCTTTATCGAATAATTTGAATTCAGCTATATTCCTTCGATTTTCAATTACTGTATTGATTGAACAGCTTCTTGTTTATGTATATTTAAAAGGAAAAAAATGTCGAATAATGTTTTTTCTTAAATAAGGGAGGAGTTGTTGTGGCCGTGCAGAAGAGCAAGCACTCACGAAACAAGATCAAAATGAGTAAAAGAGAAAAAGAGAATAGAAAGGATATTTTGGTGTGTACCGCTCGAAGCTGAAAATAAAATGATGAGTTTTTAGTTGCACGTGAACTGAAGTAGACGTGTTTCTCTTTGCATCTAAGAAGTATACCTCCATATAGTTATTCGAGATACATGTCCTCCTTGTAATCTAGTCCGCTTCGTAGTTAAAATACTGCCCAAGCGGAAGGATGTGAAGGAACCAAAGAAGCAACATCAGGACGAAGGAAACCAGCAACAGCGGTGGCAGTAGTACGTATGCTGGTGTAATGGCGGAAGGTGCGTCTTTGAACAACAACGACCAGGAACGGAGAAGAGCTGGAGGAAAATGTGGTCGTAATGGATGTCGCGTCTCTGATGGCCGAGGAGAAAAACGGAGAACAAATGAGTTCAAGTACGCGAACAATGAGGTCTATGAGAAGAGAAACCTCGAGAATTATGGCAGATACAACGAAATAGAGAGGAGGAGGAACAGAGGATGATGTAAGAAAGCAGTATGTTGCGAGCACGAGCGAAAACCAAAATCAAGTCGCCGCCCAGGAAGAAGAACTCATAATAATATCTATTTTTTTGAACATTTTTTTTTTGTTATCAATGTCTTTTTTTTTTGTTCACTTTGTTGAGTTGTTTTTACGACATTTGAACCTATCAAATAAACGAATTGAAGAAAAAAAGATTTTTCCTGATTTTCCTCCACCGTGAAAATTTTCGTGGAAAACATAGTTCAGATTATATTTTGTTATGAAATGTTTATAATTTCCTTATCATTTCACTACATTACGCACTTTCTAAATGTGATGCTTGGTTCATGAGTTTTAAATTAGTACGTGATGCCCGAGAAAATCCGAAAATTTTGAATAAAATCTTCCGGAAAAATTACCCATCCCGATTTTTTTGATTTTCGTTCATAAAATCATAAACTCTATATGTGGGCAAAATTTCATAAAATGTTGACACCCTTCGGTTCGATTGTAAAAAAAAACCCAAATGAATTGCTTTGGGTATACATAAACTTTAAACAATAGTCCAGATGAAGATTCATACCTTTCATTATTCCTAGATTTTGAATGCACATGTGTCCTTTACGTATCACTTGATTTCCAAGACTTCGCGTGCCTGTTTTCGCAGTATTTTCCGTCTTGTTTTGAGCGCTGTTAAAGGAGAATGGACTTAGCACCTCTGTTCGATTTAATTAAATTATCTAAATTACTTTGCGAATCCGATGAAATCCTCATGATTCGTATTCATGTACGCAAGTTCGTAGTCAATCATCAGCAGCAGCTGCTCTTTGGCTCGTTGTTCGCAATTTCTTATGTGAGTTGTTATGATGCGTTCTGTTTCATCTCTGAGTCTAGGGTAACGTGCCATCTGTGAACGGAAGAAGTAATTTTTCATTTATGCTTTATTTTACTTGTTTCAGCGGGGTGTCAGGTTACGCAATGTGGTTTTTCGCTGTAGATCTAATAGTTTAGTATTAGTCGCTATTATTTAACACATTTATGCCGTATTAAAGTTTACGGAAGAAATAATACAATTCTTGAATGTAATGAAATGTAATGTAATGAAAGGCAATAATAGAGAAACATCAATGAATGCTACTAACCTTATCTGTGCATATTCTCACGACATTGGACAGTTCCTGCACTGCCAAATCGATACATTTCAGGATAGGCTCTTTCAGTTGTGAAATTTGTTTCTTTACGATCGCTTCAAAAGCCATGTCCGGTGTGAACAATCCTACTCGAATACCGTGGATGTTACGAATTGCGAATGAAATTTCCCTTCGCAACTCCTTCTCGTCGCATGACATCTTTACGATTTCAAACCGCAATCGCTCGTGGAATATCCTATTGATCTTAGCTCCGCCGGACAACTCATTGGTATTGACTAGAGCTGATCCAGAGCCTTCGATGGTTCGTTCGAAGTCAGACTGCAGTTGCTGTATCATTCTGAAAACGATAATTGCAGTGTGATGAATATTGCGTGAAATGTTTGAAAAATGCTTCTACTTACTGCAACATAGCCTTTGTTTTGATGCTGGGGTCATCAGGTCGAAAATGTTTAAATTGCTCGACATCTTTTTCCAAGGTCAGATATTGCTTTTGCAAACGATCTCGCAATCCGGGTAGTGTATCTCGGATATGATTAGTCAGTTGCTGATTTAAAACTTTTTGCAAGTATGGTGTTCCTAATCGATCAGCAATATGTCTATAGCTCGGATGACTGAGGAAAAATTTACGTTCGGCGGCAAGCGCTGCAACTATATCCTTCCGACCTTCAATATCCTTTTGTGAACGATTCACTACACCAATGTAACCACGGCGCAATGGTAGTAGTTTATTTTCCAATATATCGCGAGCATCCGTGCCCTCATCCATCAAATCTAACTTCGTGATAACACCAATTGTTCGCACACCTTGCGGGTCCACTTCTTTTGCTAGCTTAAGGGCATCTGAATTAGCCAAATCCGTGTTGGCTGGAGTGACAGCCAAAACTAGGCAAGTCTCCTTCCGAATGAATTGGAAAATCATTCCTTTAATTTGGTTTTCGATATCTGGCGGCTGATCTCCGATGGGCACTTTAGTCAAGCCAGGCAGATCAATAAGAGTAAGGTTCAAAACTAGAAAACAGATGACAGGTTGTGAAGACATTTCAACGATTATTTTCTACGCCACCACTTACCATGCGGAGAATACACTCGAAGGTTGATTGGAATGTTCGAAATACCTTTGTTGCTTCCTGTTACTCGATCGGTCTCCGCTTCAATTTCTTGTCTAATTTCATCAAAGTTAGTAAGTTTCCTACCCTTTAGATGAAGAAACTCTCCATATTCTACATTTAAATAATCATTGAACAGTGTATTAACAATCATAGTTGAGTAAAATATATGGCACACTTACCGACAGTTCCATTGATAAGTTGTAATATCAGTGGTCGTCGGGTAACAATGCCAGACCCTCTAGGAAGAAAGTCCCTGAAAAAAGTAAGAGAACATTTTAGCAACAGGAACAGATAGTGAATACACTGCGCACAACAATAACAAACTATCATCTCTCGATCTCTGTTAAACGGTGTCCAGACTGGAGAGTTATAACATGTTATAACGGTTGTCAAATAATTGCAACACAGAAACGACCATCAAGATAGCGCTATAACATGTTATAACTCTGTAGTCTGAACGTACTATAAGATAGCCATCGGTGAGGTACGACTGAAACCATAGCAAAAGGCAGCCGTGGATATCGAGCCTGTCCAGCTTTGCGATTGATATGCGGTGATTCAATTTATCGAAGGCAGCAGCTAAGTCAATTTAAATGAGATCCGTCTGAGCACGATCCGACATACTGTTAGAGATGTAGAAAGTAAGGCACAGCAAGTTAGTGGCAGTGGAGCGACCAGCCATGAAACCATGCTGGTCGATACTAATGTACGGCTTACAGTGAGCGAGTAATGGTTCCATAACAACGAGTTCGAACAATTTAGCAACAGCGTTAAGCAAAGTGATGTCACGGTAGTTGCCAACGTCCTGTTTGTAGCCCTTCTTGTGCAGTGGAAACATGTGCTAGCTTCCAACAGGATGGGAAAACGCCAACGTCCACGAACCGTTGAAAAACGTGCAGCAGTGGAGACAGCAAACTGTTCAAGTGCGTTTTGAGGAACACCGATGGAATTCCGTCACGACGAATTGAGTTTCGAGGAAGCCCTGGAAAACATCTCGGGATTGATGTCAATTCTGCTCATGGAGTGGTACGTAACTGGCAGCCAGTCGGACATATTTGTCACTCAGTCTCACGTCCGTGAAGATGAAGCCACGTTACTATTATGTATCATAGACGACGGCAGACCAGCTTCATGACTTTGTCGTTGACAAACTTTCTGGGACGTGACAAACTGCTTGGGACGTGACTTAAGCTTTCTCTGCAATCCACCTCGATACTGAAGAAAGCACTGTTTCGCAACTCGTTTGTATTCGTGATTGATCCTGACATAGTGACGTTGAAGGAATAGTGTGCGGTGCTTGGTGAATTTCTTAAGAGCGGCTCTCTTTCTGGATTTCAGTCGACGAAATTCGCTCGTATGCCATGGTGAATCTTTGATGAATGATCCGATCTTTGAATCTTTTTCGGAACGTGTGTGTCAATGATATAGGGGAAATGAATCTAACGTTGGCCTATGGATCTAAGATTGTGCCCATCGTTAAAAATCTGCTATTTATCAATTTTATCTAGATGAACAGTACTAATGGATATTTTGATAGCTATTGAAAATTTAGTCGATTGCTGAATTTATGTATGGGCCCAAATTAGGGGGATTTATGCCGACATTACATCCATTTCCCTTATACCAAGACATTGGAAATAGTTTGATAACGGTGTTCAATAAGTCGTCCCAATCTAACTAGAGTAACTAGGCGATACAACCATGGTCGGCGTTCCGAAAATCGTAGGAAAAGGTGGCAGGTGAAATATTAAAATCATGCATCAGCTTAGTACTTAACGTCACCAGTAGCGGCGGAAGGTGCCGATCCAGTCTCACCAGAGGAGTGGGCGTCTCGCATAGGAAAGCAGCTATGTCCTGGGCGGTTACAAAACAAAGATCCAAACTGCGGTTGTTCGGGTTAATAACATGAGTGATTTGAAAAAGAGTGGCTGAGTTGCAATTGTCCAGAAGGAGCAAAACGTTGGAATATCCATATCAGGATAGAGGAAGCCGTTGCGAATATTTTTTCCATGAAATCCCCGGGAGATTGAAGTCACCAAACACAATAATTTCATCGGTTGCTTTAGCGGTATCCAAAACAGAGAAAACCGATTGGCAATGGGTTTCTATGAGGTCACGCTCGCGTTTACGGTCGGGAGCAAAGCACATCGCACATAGAAACAAGGTACGATCGCCCAGTTTGATCGACGTCCACACCTGCTCTAAGAATATCCAAGAGCATTATTTTCTAGTAACCTCGATTTAAACCTAGAATTTGCAGCCACTAAAACACCTCCACCTTCAACTTTCCGGCTATTAGTAGCATTCCTATCGCAACGGAAAACTTCGTAATCGTCGCCGAATACCTGACGAGAGAGCGTGCGTGAATCCAACCATGTCTCCGTGAGAACAATGATGTCGAAAATCGTCGACATTACAGTTGATACCACCGACGTTCTGGTAGTATACGGATATCTCATGCTGGCGGTTAGCAGGATGGATGCATGAACATGATGTGGCTAGTGCTGAGGTCGCAGGACCGGAAACACAGTTGAACCGCTACCAGGCAAAGGAGAGACTGAATCGTCAATATACTTGCCAGTAATAGCTGTTTGGAAAACCCCCGACCTACATCTACACTCAGGACCGAGACGACTATGCTGAGTGCTGGCTGAGGCAGAGAAATCGTTTCTCGACTCAACGGCAGGACCGAGATGTCTGCTGGTCGCTAGCCTCCTCTACTAGCCGGATGCCGGGATGCACTTTTGCACAAGGGTTCGAATGCGGAGAGTGGAAAAGGGGCTTCGAGGCGAGCGACAAAAGTGCATCCCGGCATCCGGCTAGTAGAGGAGGCTCCGGGAAACCAACTGACAGATGTAGTTTCTTTGGCACTGAAATTCGGATCAACATCAGGCTCCGAAAGCTCACAATTACAGTAGTACTTGCCTTATGTAGGAGACCATCACCCCACATCAAGACTCAGGGCCAGGAAGACTTGAATGAACGCAGGCAGCAATAGGCGCGACTGTGCTAGAGGAGCTGGAGACTCCCAAAATGCTTTCTACGGTGTGTCCTGGTGCATTATTCTTGGAGATCGTGGAAACATCTACGGTGCGTTCCGGATGAACAGATGGACCATTCGAGGATAAGGAAGACGCATCGTTTAGCCTCGAGGCTAAACTGGGAGTAACTGGATGCGGGAAAACTCATCACACAACGGCGAACACAAATAATTGACATATTTGCCTGAGCAAGCGTGGTGGAAGACTCCCTTTTCACCGCCAACCTCAGGTCCGAGACGACTATGATGAACGAAGGCGGCAGTACGCAGGACTGAATTGGGGTTATTGGGAGCTTTCAACAGGCTTTCTACGGTGCGTCTCGGGTGCTGAGAGTATGTTAGGCCAAGTTATCGTCGTCACTCCATGGAGACAGGATTGTTTAATTTGGTGACTTTCAGTGTTCGTGAAATTTCATTACGTAATATAGGATACCTTCATGTTGGGGCCTCACGGGGCCTCCCTTAGCTCAGTCGGTAAAGGCGCAGCTACAAAGCAAGACCATGCTGGAGGTGGCTGGGTTCAATTCCCGGTCCGGTCTAGGAATTTTTCGGGTTGGAAAATTTCTCGACATCCCTGGGCATAGAAGTATGATTGGACTTGCCACACAATTATACCAATGCAAAAATGGTACAGGCATCGAAAGCTCTCAATTAATAACTGTGGAAGTGCATCTAGAACACTAAGTTGAGAGCACGCAATAAGCTAATATAAGCTTGAAATGCGAAGAAGAAGAAGTCATGTTGATATCAAATGTCCTACACGACAACGCCGTTTGTTAAGTGTTAAGTGTGACCGCTTTCTCTCCACAGTGTGTCTGTTTAGAGGCGAAAATTTCACTGTTCACGTCTTCCTTCAGGCAGTAAAGCCGTTGATCGCGGTTCATGTGTTGATGGGTTCGATAGATTACAGGTTTGGAAGTCATGCAATCAATGCTCGTCGGTGATTGACGTAAGTTTGTCTTAGTAGCATACGAGGGGCTAAAACATCTGAAAATGTTGCGGACGTAACTTTACAATCGTCCCGAAAAGATGTTTGATTTGGATAATTTTAACATCGGGATCTGATCCGTTGCGGCATATCTGACAGTAGCTCAGAAGACGTTATTCAGAGTTGGACTTAATACAGAGCATTGAGCATAAGAAACGCTCATCCGGTCAGATGTACGCCCGTTCACTAGTGTAGAAATGAGGTGCGGCAATGTCATGGATAACAGGTTTATTCTCCCGCTGTTCTTAAGAAACGTAGAGTCTGCAGTTACACTCATCGTTGCATAATAACGAGAGGCGTCATATAATAACCAGATCCCTTATCTATGACATTGGTGCGTAGATTTTAGGGGTGACACTCAAACCCCCGAAATCAAAACTTCCATAATCTTTGTAAATATTCATCTTAAAAAAGATCTCCTACAGAATTGTACATTTTGATACGATAAGTAGGGGTAGACGGGGCAAGATGGCCACCCTAAGGTTGACATCATTTTTATATGTAATAGGAGTAAGGGGACATAATGAGGATCCAGCACTCCAGTTCCAAACTTCTAATTGTTCAAATAAAATTAATTGGTGGTAGGTTCAATATCACCATTGCAATGATTATTGACTAATTATTTTGTTTCAAACCATAAAAAGCGAAGGCACAGGAATCTCACTGTGTTCAATATGCCCCTCCTTCCTCTAATTGCAATTAATACAGTCAGTCATTGTCGACCCTAGATCTTTCATGTCTGTTCTAGCACCTACGCATTGATATAATTTAATGAAATAAATTTTGGATTAAAAAAAAATAAACTAAAAAAGTAACTTTCTAACACAAGTCTCAGACCGAGTCTCAGACACCCCGGGGCAAGATAAGTACCCCTGGCCGGGAAGACAAGCACCCATAGCAGGATTTTGTTTTTAAATAATATTTTTGAGTTTTAAACGATTATATTCCTTGGTTTACCAAAACAAAATACCAGCACTAGGTTGAAACATTAATTGAAAAATGTAACATACGTAACAAAAAAAGGGTTATTGATTATTGCAAATTCCTATTACAAAGAGAGGATTTTTTTTCGGTCGGCACCTTTTCATAAAGTTCACGATTGTTATTGATTATTTCTAAATCATCTTTGGAACGTTGCATCCTAGGATCATTGTTGAAAGGTACGAATGTGCAGTTATCAAAAATATAGGATGTTTACTGACAATACCAACTCTTCATACGCACTTGTATAAAAAAGGTACCGTAAAACGGGGTAACTTTGATAGTTTTTTGAAGTATATTCTTAATATTTTTTACAACAATTAATGTTTTTCAATTTTTATTTTTTTAAACAAGTACTGAGGATCCTAGAGTCAATTCGTTAGTAATATGTTTGACAAAAATTATTGAATTTGCACTATTTTTGTTGTTGTCATGTGACCGAGCATCAGTATTTTTTTGTTTTGGTGGTACTTTGATAATACTCGATTAATGTTGAAAAATTATGCGTGCAACTCAACCAATCTAGTTCAAGAAATATGAAACTTTGAATAAGTATTCAATCAGAAACATCATAAGCAATAAGAAGACAGCATTACATTTGTGATGCCAATATCAGAAATACATTTTAACAATAACAAGTTAGATGGAAGTTCGCAAGGAAAGTGTAGAAAACTGAAGCTATATTAATTGTAAATATAACTGAAAACTGCCTGCCATCGCAAATATACATGATCCTCCGACCAACACTCAAAACATGTATCACATATCTAATGGATGAAATCCATGTGGTTTTCACATAGCTTTCCTGTGATCACATAGCAGCAAATCCCACCACAAAATCACATGGATATTATGAGGTCCATGAAATTCATATAAAAAAATCATATAAAATTAATGTGATCGCATAAATGTTATGTTAAATTCAGATGATTTTCATTAATTTTGATTATGGATGAAAATCATGTGTTTCCAATGGAAGCTACATGAACACTATTTTCGGTGAACCTAAGGACCACTATACTACTTCATTCCATGGTGGCACCTCTCTTCACAGTTGTTTCGTAGATCGTAGGTTGTCAGGTGCTTCCGGCACAGCCTGAGTGATAATCTACTGATAATCCAGCCAATCATGTCGAAAACATCAACCAGTTCATTCCGGCTTCAATTGAGCCTTCGGTTAATGATATTTAATTTCCGGTTGTGATTTTTGTAGTCTACATTTCTATTACGGAAATGTGGTTGCGTCTATACATTTTTGGAATATTCGACAGCTGCGGTTGTTTTTTCTTCTTCTTTGTGCATTTTCAATGCATGCCAAGATTTCTGTGAATTTGCAATATATAAAAACTCTATACGGTACAGACATAAGCTACAAAATGGAACCAATGTTTTCAATTGGAAAATAGTGCAGAATTTAAATTTAGTCATTATATTCTACTATCAAAGTTACCCGTATTATCAAAGATACCCCGAGAGCAGGGCAATTTTATAAGAAAACTCCTGAGTTCAGAAAAAAAAATGTCACGCGTAATGCTTAGCTTTGTTGTTTTTAAAGTTGTTCCTGATGATATGTGCATCGAATGAAAGTAGATTTTTGAAGCAACTTTACAAAAAAAATCATTTGCTACATATTTACAATGGGACAATCTCGCTTAATGATTTTGTCGATTGATTTCGAGAAGGTTATTCGCGGTTTTTCTTGTGCTTAATAAATAAGTTCTTGTTGAAATCAGTTGCATAATATACAGTAAGGTTTGCATATTTTATTATACAATTAACTCTCCCTAACTCGATATTGAAGGATCCATTGAGTTACGAAGGATATCGAGTTTAAGAGGTAAATGTTGGAAAATTGTATGGGCAAAGTTGTCGAAGTAGCCTTCCATCGAATTATAGATAGTCGACTGTTTCAGGCGAAAATTTAAGAACTAAAAAAACAGAACTAGAAGTAATTAATCTCTCAGGAATTCAATTTCTGTATGGGTTAAGTATGTTGTTAATTTGACGTGATGTATGCCAAGAACAGAAACAGAATGATAATTTGATTGGTAGTGTTGTTAACTCAAAACTCACGAAAACGCATATGGGATTGATATGAGTTTATATGAAGTATGGGAGTGTTCAATGCTCATGGACTTTTTTAATAAAAGTTTAAAACAAAACTGTTACTTTAAATACCGATAAAAAAAAAGTCAAGGTTCAAACAAGAACAAGTTACGCAACAAATATCAGCTTTACTTTGTTTTGTATTTCAAATCGATTACCGCAGACAACTGGTAAATAAAATGGTATGGTACGTACACTTTTTAGATAACGCACGCAGCACAATACAAGGTTCATGATTGGTGCTTTTACCTTATCAGTTTGCTGGGCTGCAACCATCGAATGACTCAGAATATATATCTAAGCGAATCCACATAGATTTTTCAGTGAGTAATTCGTACCAGCCCTTGAATGACTGCAAGTGAATTTCACAAAAAGTCGATTCTACTTAAATCGATTGGGTAGCGGGAAGGAAATGCTGAATCGACAAATCGTTGAACTACTTGCTATTAAGAACGGGAGTCTTGTGCAGAGGGGATGATCTGTTGTGCAAGATAATTGTATCGACAAAGATCGCGACGCATATCAAACCTGTAGGTTATTCATACTTACTTTCCCACGAAATTCTCCAAAACGGACGATTTTCCTGCAGATTGTCCACCCACCACGGCAATTTGTGGTAAATCCAGTTGCATGTGAACACCCATTTGAGTGAACGCATCTTGCAGTTTATTGACAATGGGTATAAGCGAATCCATGTTAGCAAATTTTCAATGGCTCTTTGCAATTTTAAATAGTAGCATGTGTTTCAACAATCGTCCAGAAGTATTTTGTTGATTTGTGTGCCAGATTTCAATCACTTTTAACAATTAGTTCCAGATTTAAACTAGGTATAAAATATTTTTTCCTGTTTTCCACTGCGCTTAGTATTATTGATCTGCAAGAAGTGTGCATACGCAAGGTGGAGTGAAAAAATATTGAAGCAGTATCTTCTGTCAAAATGTTTACACGAAAAAATAGTTTATTTACAATAAACCCTTCTTGATGCACACAATTGCAAAACTTCCCAAATTAAGGTAGAAAACACCCAAATTAAGGGAGAACACACCCAAATGGTGAAAATTGAACCAACTCAAAAATGGATAAACTAGTTTGGGAGTGACAAGTTGACAAACGGACAACATCGATCTGAAGCCATTTGATGTTGTCCATTTGTCAACACGTCGCTTTCAACTTATTTTGCCCATTTTTTAGTAGATTCAGTTTTGATAAATTCTGTGGATTCTACTCTAATTGACGAATCCAGTAGAAACCACAAACGAAGTGACAGACGACTTTCTCCGAAGAAATTAATTAAAATAATGTGGTTCTCTGTAATAGAATTTTAGTCCACCTTCCGCCGCTCACCGCCAGGTTCGCTAGTATTTTGTTTTGAATTAATTTAAGTTGGTTTTGTGTGCAATGATCTGGCAACTCGCGTTCCCGCTCGCATTTTCGGGGTGCTGTTTTCTCACTCATCGGAGGAAATTTTAATTAGAGTGAGAAAGTAAGGAACAGTCAGCGCGGGAACCGTGCGCGTTGCTATAGGTACGGCAGAAGGAATGTAGTCGACTCTTTCGTTCTCACGGTGTTCTTACGCATGATCGTACAGAAACCAGGATACAGTCTATGTTTGTTATTTCAGAAGTCAAGACCAACAATTGAAATGGCCTTAACTCCATTTTGTAAACAAACCTTGTAAGGCCATTTTCTCGCGAACCGAAGTCCGCAAAGGCAAACCAAATTTTCCTCTACACGATTGTGGTTTAGGTTTGCGAATGAAGGTTTCGGTTTGCGAGAAAATTGCCTTACAAGGTTTTTTTTACAAAATGGAGTTAAGGCCATTTCAATTGTTGGTCTTGAAGTTTTCAATATGATTATTCTCGATTACTTTTTGAATCGGTCCTGTCTCTTTTCGTCGAGGAAAAAATTGGCTAACTTGATTAGCTATCAACCGTGCCCATTGAGTTACATATTGGCTATGTTATACCACAAACGAAGTGACAGATGGAGCGGCTCGAAATTTGATTTGACGCACTTACATTTGAAATTTTCGAGTGTACCTCACGGCAACACTATCTACTCATATGTACTAGCTTAAAAGTAGTTGATGCTATTGGGGTACCGCCTGTTATCTCTTTTTCTCTAACGAAAATTGAAAGGGAGAGCCTGTTGTCAAACAGCATGTCATTGTGCATTTTCGTTGTTATCTGCACTTCTTTTGGGGGTGAACACTTCAGGTTAACATTTGCTTTTGTAATTACATTTGTAAACGATGTTCAACTATCAATGACTCACGCTTGTCGTCAGCAATTGTTGGTACAGATTTCATCAGTCCGTGCTTCTAACCAAAGCCATACACGGTAACCGCAAAATACCCAATAATGACTAAAAAGTAAACATGTTCGAGGGAAACTGGGACTACCCACACGGATAGAAATCCCCTTATACCTTTTGGCAAATTTCCATTGCTGATTATTCATAAATTGTATAAGTCAACTAATAAGCAGACGCCTTGCAAAAAGTTAATAAAGATCATGTGTCAAATGAAATGTATAAGCGGTCACACATACCTTTTATGCATTCTAATAGGACCTATGTGGTTTGTCTTATGGAATGTATAAGGCTGATGCTTTGGCAAAAATGTATAAGTGAAACACATGAATTAAATAAATGATTTTCGTTTCGTGCATTTAAGAGTAATTACAACTACAAAAATAAGTAGTAAGTATTCATTTGTGAGTATCAAATACTCATAAATGGGTAAGCTACTGATTGTCAGTTGTTTTATTGAGAATAGTTGTATGTTCGGTAATTTTTGTGATTTACAGTGCGAAAACTGTAAAAACAATTACCGAACACGGAAGCCGTGATTAAGTGTGTACCTATATAGCAACGCGCACGGTTCCCGCGCTGACTGTTCCTTACTTTCTCACTCTAATTCGAGGGGGGCGACACATCGAAATCTCAATTCTAGATGCTCAAAAAATCGCACACTAGCGAATCAATCTTCGAAAAATCATCTTTCATTTCTCGCATCTACTTGCATCGTGCTTCATCTTTTTGCAGGAAATCTTCAAAATCGACATAAATCTTCCTTCTATCTACTCAGCGTGCGTGCAGCTAGCCACAGCAAAACACAATCTTTTCTACATCGTAGATAGAGTCGTCCCCCTCGCTCTAATTAAAATTTCCTTCGATGAGTGAGAAAACAGCACCCCGAAAATGCGAGCGGGAACGCGAGTTGCCAGATCATTGCACACAAAACCAACTTAAATTAATTCAAAACAAAATACTAGCGAACCTGGCGGTGAGCGGCGGAAGGTGGACTAAAATTCTATTACAGAGAACCACATTATTTTAATTAATTTCTTCGGAGAAAGTCGTCTGTCACTTCGTTTGTGGTGGAAATTTTCACCGTGAAGCATAGGAAGAGGAACGCATATTTTCACCTTTTCTGAATAAATTAATCCACCGCAGGTGCTTGAAATCATAATCCGCGTGGAATATTTTGTTTTCTGTATCGGGTTTGCAGTGATGCTTCCATATATTTTTGATGAGAAAAATTAAGATTTATAAAATTGTCCTAGCGGTTATGATCTTCCGGATTTTTAATGTGTGGTTATTTCAGCTGTAAATTAGTTCAGAATTCATGTGTGGGACACATAAAAACAATCTTTGAAATTTTATCAGTGTACATTGATGATGCATGAAAGAGCCTATATTTATCCTTCAACTTTTTATCTGTGTAGTCTCTCCATTTTTGGGTATACCCAATAGGTAAATCATATAGTACTTGTAGAATCTGTTTTGTCCGAGCTAATGGGTGAATTCCACTAATTGTCGGTTTCTTTTATAATACCGTGATACAATCACCGTGTTTATTATTTGCTCACCTTGCTAGTAGTTTCTTGAATATGACAGATCAGTGCAAATTTTGGAATGGATGGCTTGATGTTTATTGGATAAGAAATCTTGTGTAAAATATAATTATTGTATTATTTAATGTCATGTACAATGTATTTAATTAAAAGTGACTCGCGAAGCTAAAATGTGACTTCTTCATAGATTTAAGTAGGTTGATCTGGAATGAAGGTGACTCAATATCAAAGAAATAATTTCGTTGGAAGTTTTGCTCAATTTCGCATATGATTAGATTATTGCACTAGTCGAGGCTGCACCTGTTTCGTGAATCTATTAAACTGTATAATAGTATGTGACGTGGTAAGTAAATAATTTAGATAAACTTTCACGCCGCCTGTTGGCCTAGAAATGGACCAGAGCTATGTACTATTTGGTGAATACTTTTTGTTAATTGTAAATTTCATAGTTGTACAGCTTTACAAATGGTTTTCATTTCAAATGAATAGTCATAATATTATGGTGGTGTGTGCCACTTCTTAAACTAGGTCAAAAAATGTGAAGAAAAGACGAGAGAAATCATTATCAATTTGAAGGTATTACAAATGTTACTCAAAGTGTGCTTAAATATAACCAATATAAGAATTATTCGACAACAGATTCTTTGACTAGCTGTCAATTTTCGGAATACATGTGCATCTGGATTCTGCGTACCATCGTCTGGAGTGAATTGTGCCACTTTTTCGCTTTCACTATCTAAAATGCTTTAAAATTAATATATTAGAACAATTCGCTTGTAATACATCAATTATTGATTAACTCTAGAAAAGAAGTAATAAACTTTTTTTCAGTAGTGCTCTTCTAAAACCAAAGCCGAAATCAAGCGCAAAACCCATCATGAATTGAATTGCAACAGTATAGGAGTATACAAGCGGTTCTGCAGTAAAATGTCGGATTATTACTTCAAACATTAATTAGATGTGGCGTAATCATACAACATCTACCCGTGTGGGATAGCAAACGTGTTTGTATTGACAAATCACACTATCGACTTAATGCTTCTATTTACGCTTGAAGCAACTATTGCAGATTCCAAATTGTTATAATTAACGTTTTCCTGCCTATGCTACGACCTACGAAGTCCATGCACGATCTACTCGAGACATAAGCAATCGTAACTTGCTTGAGATGTATTTTATTAGCACCATGTTGTGAAAAAATAACTCTTTCAAGTTCATGATTGCTCTTAACTTTTTATTATGTTCCGTTCAATCAATTTTATCAAGCTTTGTTTTTTTTTCTTCGAATGATTTGAAAGAGTGTTTGTTTCCTAATATCGAAGACAACAAATCTTCTTGATTTGTTGTCTTCGCTAATATACAAGTTGAAATTGAAGTTAACGGTTAATGGGAAGAGTGCCGACCATAAGGCTATGCTATAAGCACATATCAATATGTGCTATAACAGTGGTTTTCAACCGGTTTTGTTCCATGCACCCCTTTCAAAAATTGATCACCACCGTTCCGCCTCTAACAAAAAAGTTGGATAGGTAAATACATACGCTCGTAAAAATACTAGATTCCCATTAATTGTAATGAAGTTTACGCATTTTTAATGGTTTATACGTTTATGATGAGCTATGTGAAAAGCCCTATGTCTGTAAATTAAAAGTAAAAGTCAATGAGAAACACCTGAACACTTTCAGTTAGCGTTGGAATGTTTGGAGCTGTGGTTGAATAAACACTCTGCATATCTTCTTCGATGTCTAGTGTAGTAAACTCCTTCGCTTTCATTTACAACATTATACAAAATACAGATCCGCACAACAACATTTATTATTACAAACTTTAAGTAACATGTTATATTTTCTGAAGCACTATTTTTGACATTTATGTAAAGGCACTGACTTTGGGTTTGGGTGTGGTACTAGCGGGATATGCCGCAAGTCACTCTTATTTTATTTTGACACATAGAGTTTGATCTAGTTTTGGGAAGAAAATATACTCTTCGAAGCTAATCAAGAGAAGTATTGAATGAATAATTTGGAAAGTTAATCTAGCTGAGATTCTGTATTCAGCGGCACCGGTGGTGTAGTGGTAAGCGTGATTACCTCTCACCCATCAGGCCTGGGTTCAATCCCAGTCGGCAACGCCGGGATGTTCTGTGAGGCATAACATCTCTGATCACGCCAAGGAAAGTGAAGCCGTTGGTCCCCGGAAGCTGCCTCCCTGGCGTCGGTAGTATTGGTGCTCAGCACAAAAAACAAGATCGACGGAAAAAAAATCAAGGAGATTCTATATTCACAAATCGGTATAATTTAAATTTTAATGTGGCTCCTTTAGTAGGTAGTGTTTCACTAAGTTTTTTTTCTTCATATGAAGTGAATTTTTAACTTTTCGCGGCTGTTGGAACTCAACGCGGCCTACGGAGCTTTCGTAATGCGCAATTCGATAGAGCTTCCCAAACGCGTTTTAGGCTTTTGTATTTTTTTGACTTTAGTCGGTACGGACGTGAAATCTTAGAATCAGGCCTGAACATACTCATTACAGCTAAAATACTACTTTTCGAAGTTAGGAAACTATGAGATAATATAATAATAATTTGTATATGTAAGATGCAAGTAGAGGAGGTAAAGTTTGTGTAATAATATAATGTGTAATAAAATCTGTCAATTTCGCTTCCTGAATGTCACAATTGTTTTAGAGCGTTGGACCAAGGATGGAGCCTTGTTGAACTCCAGCTGTGATCCTAATCGATCTCTGTCAAATGTCTGTCTCGTAGACCCGAATCCGGTTCTGGAAATAACTCCTCAGGATCCTGCACAGGTAATCAGGGACTCTCATTATATGCAGCGCTTCGGCGATGGCCTCCCAGCTGGCACTGTTGAACGCATTCTTGGCGTCGATCGTTATCACGGTGCAATAACGATCTCCTCTCCGCTTCTGTTTGGACGTCTTCTCGGCTATCTCGACTACTGTCCGAATTGCATCCACCGTCGATCTCCCCTCCCGGAATCCAAATAAAATAATTCCACAAATGGGTTGGAACAATTTTATTACTGCTGGCCGCTCGAAACACTCCTCTTCGTTCCTCTCTGTCTGCTTCTGTTCTTGCTCTCTGAACACGTCTTCTAGCTCTGAGACAACTAGCGCAGATGGTGCTAAGTGCCTCGTTCTACCAGTAAGCCGGACGCCGTCTGTTATTTGGCTCCAGTTTCCTCGGCATGGTCGTGTCACATGATCCTCACTAACGTTTCTGTCAGCTCGTTCGCGTTCAAATCCACGGGGCCCCTGTCATCACGGAGTGCTTCAACGAAAAGATCCTTGTCGAAAGCCAACTGCCACAACAGTTGCTGAGCAGTGTCGCAATTATTGAGGTTTATTTGGGTTACCTCCATTACTGTTGGTCTGCCATCGCCTTTTTAAATTGTTTTATTTGTACAGGCTCAATTTATTAAACTTTACAGAGCCAAGTTATAACTTTCATTATAGATGAGCTAGAGGAAGAGGATGCCTCCCTTAGCTCAGCCGGTAAAGGCGCAAGACCATGCTGGAGGTGGGTGGGTTCGATTCCCGATCCGGTGTAAGCATTTTACGGATTGGGAAATTTCTCGACTTCCCTGGGCATAGAGTATGATTACATGCCACACAATTATACTAATGCAAAAATGGTACAGGAATTGTGGAAGTGCATCTAGAACACTAAGTTAAGAGCATGTAATAAGCTAATATGCGTTAAGCAATAAGCTTGAAATGCGAATAAAAAGAAGAAGTAGAGGAATAGGAGACTTTGAATTGGACAATTTAAAAAAGATACTATGTACAGTGACTCTAGAAAAATTTTAATACATTTTTAGGAAATTCTTTCACAACCGTGTTGATACATATATTTCTTAAATTTTGGTATTGGATTTGAGCTTAATTTACTGATTCTGTTAAAAACGCTCCATTTGAGACTTTTTTCGTAGCGAACAGATTTCAGCAAAATATGGTACATATAACAGATCTTTGATGGTAATAAAATGAGCAAATTGAAAAAAAGGTTCATTGTAGATCAAGAAATAGTAGTTATTTTGAAAAAAAGGAGTTTTCCTCAAATCGATCAAACTTACGCAACCAATCAAGCAGAAAATTACACCAATTAATATTTGATGAACTGGCTGGCTGGCCTATTAATCTCGTGCCTTAACTAAGCGATCAGAGGCTCCAAGCTGCCAGGTCTTAAAATATGTAGTTTAATATTTTTAATAGATTATTCGTCTTAATTTATTGCTGAATAAACAGCAAGTGTATCTCAAAATTGATCGTACATCCTAGAGGACAACTTTTTAAATATGGTGAATAGATATATTTTTAGAATCGTGGCTGGTGGTTGAACAGATGTTTATAGATTTATTGCTATAGTTTTGGTCTTTATTGAAAGAGCCTGTATGAAGTTGGATTTATTTTAGTAAAACACTCTATTTTTAACTTTTTACCTAGTGGACGAATTTTAGTAAAATTAGTGGCATATTATGAATGATCTTTACTACCACTAAAAATGAGTAAAATTTCAATAAGTTTTCATCATTTTATTTAAAGAAAATAAGGTTTTTCAAAAAAAGGCATTTCCTTAAATTGCTCTAATTTTTTGTAAAATCAACCAAATATGCCTAAAATTGAGACAATAATTGAAAATAAATGCTAAGTCAGCTGCCAAAAATTCAGAGACGTAGCTTTTTAACTTGTGCTTTTAGAGCCGTTTTTCTAAAATTTAAATACAGCTGTACGATCAATTTTGCGATACAGTGTATGTATTCGTATATTTTAAATAAGGTGTTACTGACGGGCCAGAAAGGCTAGTCTAAAGTGGTCTAGCCACGGAGCTCGTCTGGGGTGGGCTATATCCGCCTCATTTTACTGGCTAGCCCGAGCTTGAGGCCTCTTATGAGGCTTTTATCATGGAATCGCTATGCAAGAGTTCAATCTTTCATTTATTAAACGACACACAAATTCACTGGTCGCGGGCGAATGGTCGGTGGGACCGTGATGATACTGGGCGCCGTCGTCTGGTTGGGTTCACCCAGGGAACCAGCATGATTGACCGTGGTTCGGGCTACGGCCAGGAATGCCGTTGGGTGTGGATCCACGCTCGTTAACCAAATCTCGGCAATCCAAGCCAGCCCTCTAATTTGGGGTTAGATAGACGACGATCATCACGACAACTTCTCCCGCTGGTTCCCTGTGCGAGCCACACCCAACGGCATTCCTGGCTGTAGCCCGAACCACGGTGTCTTCAGCAAATGTTCATAAAACCAACTGCTCTATAACTTTGTCCAAGACATGCAACCATTATCTCGTAACTGGAAAAAGTTAGAATTTGGATGTGTAATACTAGCTTAAAGATTATTCAGATTAAAAGATGCGGGATATAATTTTGAGCAACTTCTCCCAAGACACCCAGTCTCTAAAACGTCGAAAAAGGGAAGAAAATATTTTTGACCGTCTTTATTCATATTCGTGCCACTGTGCGTCGTAGTCTTGATTGGTGAAATGACACAAGGCCAAAGCCTCAACCTGCCGATAAACTTCAGGCTACGCGCTGTACAGACTAACCCGTTCGCTTCGTGTGTGTCTGGGGAAACGACTCCAATCACTCGCGAGGATCTAGCTTCGCCTACTTTTCCTGTTATCGCACGATGGTCTCTTCACTTCTGTCTCTACTTTGGAAAAAAAGCCTTGGTTTTCGCTCCAGACCCAGTAGCTGCCGTTCTTTTTTTAATCTCCTTTTTTTGTTCCTCTTTTTCCATTAGTCCTATATCCACCCGCGACAATCCAATAACCGTCCTCTGCAGCAATTTTAACGTGTTCTTGTGTGTACTAAATGTGTATTTTAACAAACTTTGTTCTTGCTTTTATTATCAGCGAACCGGGAAAACGGGGAAATAATCGGGAATTTGAAAATGAGCCGTAAAAACTGGGAAAAAGCCGGGAATTTGACAAGAGAACCGGGAAAAATCAATAAACCTTAACATATTCCAACAAAAACTCTCAACAACTCTCAGCAAAACCGAAAAGTCGATGTTTGTGGTTTTTTGAGTTCAACTTTATGCCATTTTTTGCTCATGAATATTCTTTAGAAAATTAGAAAAAATGTGTTTTTTTATTTTTCTTTTTTTTCCAATATTTTTAGAAAAATCGAAACGTAATTATTTTTTCGGGGCGGTAAACTTCCTCTTAAGAGGGTGTATAATCTGCACGGTATAAGCAGCTAGTCTCAACGTAATTTTGTTTAGCAACTGATACCTAGTTACATATACAATTAATAGGGGGATCCAAGGGCATGTCTAATGGATTTTCTAATAAAGTACCTCAATGTTTTGTTAAGTTTTGCTGGTTTCATGACCATTTTTGCAAGTATTTACATTAGTGTGGGTTCCCCAAGGCTTTTATGAGTGTATAGCCCCGTAAGCAAAAATTTCCACCACTCAAATAAAGTCCTACGTAAAAAATTAAGAAACATTTTAGTCAAAATGTTACACTCAATAGTTTCGTCGCAAATGGCCATGTACCACCCTTTTTTTTTATTTCGACTCTGTGAGGCGGTGGGTTCGATTCCCAGAACAATTTTGGACAAGTTCTTGTTAATTGCTTTATGTGACCTAACCCGGATGTTCCGGATACCGGTTCCGGTGGTTACAATCGGATTTATCATAAAAATGATTATGCGATATATCAAAACACATCAAATTGATGCGTATCCCTAATATAAAATAACCATAAAAAGTGGTTAATGACGTGTTCATGGTTTTATCCAAACCATTAGTGGATTAGTTTTAGGAATCTCTTTAAAAAAGTTTTAAAAATTTTTATATTAGGGATATCCGAGGGAGATTAAATTGAAATCAAAATTTGCTGTTATGACTTAAATTTGTTTGATTACTCGATCCAGCAAAAATGAGAACATAATTTTACACTGTAAATCAAACGGAACACTAATCCTGCTCTCAACATCAATTTGATTACTGATTTTGCGTTCATAATAATTAACTGGATACGAGCCTGGCGTAAATGGTTATCATCGATGTTCGCGACAATTTGAAATAAAAATAAGGTTTCATTATGATGGGAACAGCAAACTTTAACATCAATTTGCTTTCATTTTGTTTACCGACTTTGCTCGGGTACTTCGTTACTCATAACTGCAGATGGTATATAAAACACAGACTGGCGAATAGAAATTCTGTGAAACTAGCAGCACTGATATTTTTATTACCATTTTCATTACCTGCAACTGCCTGTAACACTTGCTGGTGTTAGCACATAGAATGACTCTTTTTGTCTTTTATTTTCAGACAGGAAGCAATCCATCGAAATTTAATCATCAAATAATAACACTTAATTTGATGATATTGGAGTAAATAGTTTAATCAATCATGGCTTCCAAATTGAGCGCAGAAGGCAGAGCCAACGAAAGTTCAGCGAAGGATAAAAAATACATTTCCGTTGCCGAATTTTATCATGGTAGGAGTATCTTCATTACCGGAGGCACAGGCTTTATGGGAAAGGTAAGATTTATTTTTATATAGACAATGTATTTACAATTAGTAATTCAGCAACAGTTATCAGCTACTACAATTGTATATATTTTTAAATTACAGGTTCTCATTGAAAAATTGCTACGTTCTTGCCCAGGAATAAAAAATATCTTCATATTGATTCGTCCGAAACGAGGTCAAGATATATCGTCCAGGTTGACGGAAATCCTCAATAGTCCGGTAGGTGTCTGATGGTTGGAAGAAACAAAATGCTTTCGATTGAAGACCTAGTTATAAATAGTAATTAGTTAGTTATTGACCTTGAGTAGTGAACCGAGGACTGCGCGCGTCAAAGTTCGTAACGGTTCAATGAAAATTATAATTTATTCGTGCATTCGAATGTTAAATGTTCATGAACTAGCATGCCTCAAAAATCGGGGTTAACTGCACACTGGTTCACGAAAACCACGGTTCACAAACGGTTTTTCATAACACGATTTAGGTTAAAAAATGTTCTAATTTATTCGTCACACTGTTTCTAAAAAATAAAATAAAGGTAATTGACACGTTCATGAAAAAAATCACTCATTTTAGTGAACCGCGATAGAAACTGTCCGGTGCAGCCTCGGTTCACTACCCAAGTCTGTTTAATTATACCTAAATATCTACATTGTGTGCTCAACTAATACTAACAATACTATTTGCAACCTTTTTACTTTCAATTTAATTAAAGGTCTTTGTGTGTGTGCTTCTGAATAGTTTTTGTTTATGTGTGGCCACATGAATATTATGTACAAGGGAGATGGAGGCAATATGGTAATAAAACATGAAAAACATTCCTAGATGTGTGATACCTGTGATCAACTCATGGAACGTTGGAATATGTTTCTCGACTTCCCTGTGGAATATTTCTCGACTTCCCTGGGCATAGAGTATCATTGTACTTGACACACAATTATACTAATGCAAAAATGGTACAGGTATCGAAAGCACCTCAGTACAGGCGTAACATTTGAAGACCTCATACAAGTTTTTGTAGACAAAAGTTGTAGGGCCCTTTCCACGCGAACCGAAGTACGCCCACGCAAACCAATACCACTATCGGAAAGGGGATCATTTCCCCTGCCCTGTGATGAAGTTGGTTTGCATGGGCGAACTTCGGTTCACGTGTAAAGCGTCTTGCAACTTTTGACTACTAAAGCTTTTGTGCCGTTTTCAAATTTTATGCTAGATGTTAAAACTGTAGAAGTGCATCTAGAACATTATTATGAGAACACGCAATAAGCTAATATGCGATAAGCAATAAGCTTGAGTGCTTTTTAATAGGTCGTGTAACAAATGTAAACAAATTGACATTTTAATGCTACCAAACAATTTTCTGCTTACTCCTCCTAAAGGCAAAATTTGGGTTGTGAGTAGTCTATACAATGATAACTGCGCTTTCCGTGAGCACTCATTATAATACATTTTTAAACCACTAAAATGCTCACAGTCGAATGTAACACAACGCCATGCAGAAGGTCGTATAATATTGATTATTTGATTAATTTAAAAAACGTTTTTTTAACAGGAATGCTATCAATACCTTGATTAGTCGATAGCAGCGCTCCTGAGATATAGTCAATGATGATGTTGAAAGAATTATCAATCTCATTGAAAATAGAAACAACTTTTTGTTCTCCAAAACAAAACACCTCGTTTCTCTATTTGACAAAAATGTTACATGCGACCCAATCAAAAGGATTCCAGTATGGCTCAAATTTCATTAAATCTCGGAAAGGGATTGGGAATACTATGCAGAACAACTTTGTAGAAGATTATCAAATCGATTAGGCTTCTGACAAAAAATTTATTATTATACCAATTTAGATCTATTGGTCATCGCATACCTATAAGCGTATATATGATATACGCCTAAAGTGAAATATTAATTACTTGTTGTACAAAGATCAAATCGATTTGTAGCCTTGGCTGGTAGCTGTTTTGTATAATATTCTAAATCTTAGTCCAAGACTTGGTGAAATTTGAATAGGAACGTACCGTTTCTCATACATTTTCCCTTACAAAATTTAAAATTCTCCCGCAAATCGATATTATAACCAAATCCGTTCAAATTTTGTTGTGGACGTCAATACGCATTGAAAAAGCCAATGTTACATTTTCATCATTATCGATTATCATATAATTGAATTTTGATACGGTTTTCTTAGAGATGCTTATTAGAAGCATATTAAAAAAAGAATGAGATTGAGTTAATAAGTAATAGGGTAGATAGGGGCAATATGGTCCCCCTAAGAAAAAAACATAACACATGAAAAACATTCATAAATGTATGATAGCTGTGATCATACTCATGCTTTGGAATATGTTTATACAGTGTTCAAAATAGTATATCCATATTTTAAATTATTATGTATGAAAATTTTAAGTTTTTGCTCCAATCAACAACCATACGGGGCATTATGAGCACCCTTTAAAAGTTAACGTTTTGACGGGATTTCGCTTGAAAATAACATTCAGGAATCATGTGAAATAGAAACATAAGTTCTTTTAGCAATTGTTACGTATATTGCTCGCTGTAAAACCAGCGAATCGGTAAAATGCAATATAGTGCTTGTTTTCTTGACTGCATATCTTATAATATTTTAGAGATTGTGAACTAATGTTACATTTCCATCATTGTCTTAGACATATAATTGAATTTTGATACGGTTTTCATGGAGATGCATTTTAGAAGCATGTTCAACAAGTTTGTAAAAAAAATAGAGTGAGTTAATATGTAATATGCCCAAACGAACGGTGGCCTATCTCGCCCCGTATGATCTTCTTGCCCCCATGCCCCTACATATGCCAAACAAACGGTGATCCATCTCGCCCCGTATGGTCTTGTTGCCCCCATCTACCGCATTAGCTACTTATCCCAAAAGGTCCTTTTGTAAAAAGTTGATATTGAGTTGAGCAAATAGCTGTTTGAAGCCGATGATGATGGAACAATTCTAATATTTTTTTCTTATTGAAATTAGTTGTAGTGAGGCTTACTATTTTGAAGTATGAGAAGTTGAACAGAAAATCTATTGATATATTGATTTCTGCGGGATGGGACAAACTTACTTGATTTTATTGATCTACTCATTTTATTTATTTGCATCCAGGGTGACCAGTAAACCAGTGACAAATCGGGAAAAGTATACTTGTCCTAACTTTAAAAAAAATGTTTGGTCTTTGACAAAATTTTAAGCCCTTGAACTGGACTATATTTTCAGGATAAAGTCACTTAGAACATTCAAATAATTTTAGCAATTTTGAGGAGATTTTAGAATGAATTCTAGAGATAACAACAAAGTATTTTCAATTTCCAAGAGAGTTTTGGGAAGAACTCTACGAGAGTTCTGATTAGAACTTCAAGTCAATTGTAAGAGCTCTCAGTAAATATTTAAAGTAGCTCTGTGGAAAATTCCAATTCTTATGTTATGAGGATTCCAGGATCCGTGAAAAATTCCAAGGAAATCGCATTTTAAGGCTAATAGTTTTAAGAGAATTATGTGGATCAGTGTTGGAAAAGTTCGCGATATTTCACGAAGTTCACCATGGGAAAAGTTCGCGAGTCATATTGAGTTTTCACGAACTTTTCCATCACTGATGTGGATATTCCAAAGGCATCTAAAAAAAAGTTAGAACATTTCAAGGAGAATTCCAAATGATTTTTCATAAGAATTAGATGAGATCTCCAAGATAATTCTGAGCAAAATTTTAATTCTGATGTGAATTGCATAGGGGGAATTTTAAGGAGAATTCAAGCAAATTAAAAAAAAAATAGGAAAAGCTTCAGTGAATGCTTAGAAAAAGTTTAAAATTCGAAGAGAATCAAAGGATGCATTTCATGGTGATCCACAGAGACTAATATAGACTATAATTTTTTAAGGGATTCCCAGAGAGAATCTCAAATTTATGTTATACTGAACTCTGTGTCTGAGGACATCCCCGGCGTGGTGGCCAAAGTGACGAGTTCAAATCTCATCCCCGGTCTCAAGCGGTCACCGTAATTGACGCCTTTTATGTGATAATCGGCTGCCTTTGCTTCCGACACATGCAAAATAAGCTATCAAGCACAGTACTAAACTAAAATATGATATGAAATTCTCTGTCATACGACCAGGCATGGAAAATCATTTACATTCATTTCGTGCATTCTTTTACATTCATTTGCCCCTAACTTTCTTCATCAACAGATTTCCGCAAAATAATGTATGGAGTTTTTGTAGGTTTTGTTATTAACTACAAATTTTGTTAACAACTCAAATCTGTATATCTTATGCATGACGACACAGAGCGAACAGAGGCCACTACTGTTTTTCAGTGAATGTATTTTACATTCACTGAAAACAGTAACAAGGTATGCCCGCTCTAATTCGTGATTCATAAGAGATACAGATTTGAGTTATGGACAAAAGTTGTAGCTAATAACAAAACCTACTAAAGCTATATACATCATTTTGTGGAAATCTGTTGATGAAAAAAGTTAGAGGCAAATGAATGTAAATGAATGCGTGAAATGAATGTAAATGATTTTCCATGCCTGCATACGACACTGTCGCCAAATATTGTCACGTATTAAGTTTTTCTCCCAATAAGAGCTGCTAATGTTGTGCTTATGTGAATTCCGAAAATAGCAAGCAGTGATGTCCTAGTAATAACATTTCTGATCAAACATGGCTTAATTTGAACAAAATTGAGGATTTAGAACGAAATAACACGTCATATGATAATTATTTGATCATTTTCTTTTTGCTCGAATGTTGTTCGACCGTTTTGTTGTGTTAAAGAGACAACGGTAGAGCATGAGTGTACCAATACAAACATACTGTCGCACACGAAGCGAGTGTAGTAAAAAACGTCAACCGTTTCATTCAACCGGCCAATAGGCTTAATGGTATTTAGTGAAATGTGCAGATGTTTAGTGGTGTTCGTATTTCAATGCAATGTTTATATGTTTACATGAAACAGCTGTTAGCAGTGACGTCAATCTCACTGTTCGCAGTATGGAATGTTGTGGTATAGTGACATTGTCACTTGAGTGCTCAGCAATGTTTACAATATTGACATAGAAAAAATATTTTAACACCGTAATTTTCTGAGGAAAAAATGCTTTGTTTTAGATTTTTTATAGCTTTTTCCAATATTTTTACAAAAAATCTACATCTATTTTTTTCGGGCATGTTTATTATTATTTTTGATATTAACCAATCTAACTTCCTTTGAGTGTAATATCACGTTCATACTATCACATGTTATAATAATTATCGACATTAAAAATGTCATGAATATAAACTTATAACATGTTATAACTGCTCAGTCTGGCCAGCGTTTTACCGATGTATTTACTGAGCATTATCAAAGCACTTATTCATGTTTTTATTTTCATTTTTAATCTCAGCTGTTCGACCGAATCCGGAGTGAGAATCCAGCCAACCTAAAAAAAGTCATTCCAATAAATGGCGATATTACGTTAAATGAACTTGGAATATCGGAAATTGATCAGGTGATTCGGTTCCTGTATGTATATCACGAAGTGTTCTATAATTTGGTTTTTCTATTTCAGATAACGATATGTCAAGAAGTGTCCATAGTATTCCATTCCGCTGCTACAGTTAAATTTGATGAAAAAATCAAGCAATCCGTTACGATTAATATGGTAGGGACAAAACAATTGATGGAACTATGTCACCGAATGCTGTGCTTGGATGTAAGTAGTTGTGTTCAGCTAAGTTTCTTTTTTAAATTGTCAAAACCGTTTGGAATACAATGCTTTTCCAACTTGGTCAGCAACACAGCTTTCTCTTCTCCTAATTCCGCGTGACCTGAATTAGAAATCATTTACGTTCGTTATTACGATCAATCCTTAAGACATATTTTGGTTTAATAAAACTCCATTTTGAAGGCGATCCTAAAAGGGGGCTGACAAATTCGAGATAGCACTGTATTAAAGTCATAAAAAAGAATAATACGATTTGAAAATGGCATGCGTGTATGAGTGTTAAGTTATTTTCTTTGAATCCAATACTAGTTTCTACATTATTGCATTTTTTTCATATTTCCAGGCGTTGGTGCATGTATCGACAGCATACTGTAATTGCGATAAAAAAGAGGTCACTGAAATTATATACCCTCCACCATACAATCCGGACGATATTATTCAACTGGTCAGATGGTTCCCTGAGGATATACTGGAAAAGGTATGTGTAATGAAATCAGTTCTTTTATTAACTATTTTGACTATTGGCTGTAATTTAATGCTATTATTGACCAATGTGCTGTTACAAGTGAAGCAAATCACTTCCTCCAAAGTGTATTAATTCCAGTCAACAGTGAACTTTTTAACTGTGTGACTTGATTCCCCGTTAGACATGAACGACAAGTGTGCCGGTTGCTCACCGGCGAACCGTCAATCGGTTAGCTTATGGCTCGCAGGTGTACTTGCATCAAAGTGTTGGGTTTCCCTAGAAATATCGCAGGGCGTATTGAAAACGTTCAAAGAAACATTGGTATATCTGAAATCAAGTATCGCAGTGGTATTGTCAGCCGTTAACTACGGCAAAATGTCATTAAGATCATTGAGGTCGACCAAAAAAACCTCAAACTTTGATTTGACCAAAAAGTTCGGTGAAGCCCGCACTGCCGCACTCAAAATACCAAAACTATGTTGTTCCACCGATAAGAGCCACTTGAGAACGTTTTTCTCAGTTTGCTGTTTTAAGAATTCCGGGAATGTTTTCAGTCCTACCAAGCCAACTTACAACCAAACCAGACCCTTAGCAGAACAATGTGGTCAGAATCCGTTGCAGGAAGCTCTAGGACCATGTGTTGACCAAATTTAACGGATTCCCCTCATTGATGAAACCAACGTGAATGCTGACTTCAGACCACGGCTCGAAGTACCAATTTTAGGTTTATTGAAGTTTTAATGCAGGTGATAAATCCAAATTATAAAACCTTCTCTGCCTACCACATTGTTTAACTTCTTTTGGTACCGCTATAAAGTCATGTCTCGGTCCATTGGCTTAGTTTTAATGCACTCATTAAAATTGTAAATGCGAACAATATTAGGAGCATAAGTTTTATTATAGTTTCGATAGGGTAAATGATGGCTTCGGCACCCATTTACTGTGATAGGCAACCTAAATTTAAATGATGAATGTATTTAAACAATTCCTTAGTATTTGAGCATCAATCTGATTACCTTTTTACGATTGAGCAAACCTGTTATACCAGGTTTTTCTAAAAATTAAATATACGCATTGCAAAATGTGGCTGCTTTCGAGTAGCCTATACTAGAACTGCTGGTTAACACGCATTTCAAATGGGTAGGTTGTCGAATAAAAAGAGGTTGCCGACAATTGTCACACTAGAGCAACAACCAGCAGATAACTGTAAACAAACAGACACGTCATATGTGCCCCTGATGCTAAAAAAAATGCAAATTAAAGTGCTTCGATTGACGAGAATTCGTAAATTCCCCTACGTAGTATATGGTGCCAGCCTAGTTAATCTCTCTATAAAAGAAACTCATGTCTATCCTTTCCCATAGATGTCTATATAGGAATCCCTGCGCGGTGGGTGGTGAAGTCTACCTACCGCGATTTCTTGGCTATTTTCGTGCCAACTGAACTAATAATGGATGAATCACAGACAAGCAGACATAACACATTGAATAATTCTCACTGTAAAACATCGTCGCTAAAACATTACCGCCATCTGTTGAGTACACTGTGGTGGGCACTACGCTGATCAGATAACTGTAGTGTGTAAATATCAAACGCAAGGAAAATGACTATGAGCGCCACAGGTGGCGGGCACTACGCTGATCAGATAACTGTAGTGTGTAAATATCAAACGCAAGGAAAATGACTATGAGCGCCACAGGTGGCGGCACTACCAACTACGATACTTTGTCCGTTAAATGCTTGTTCGATGAACAACTTGCAAGTGTTATTTCTGTTTGTCTGTGAATGAATAGTTTACAGTTGGCTTTAATCATAGAAATTTCCGAAGAAAAAGCTGGTTTTTAGTAATTTATTAAATAAAAAAACATTCCGTAATTACCGAACAACGTCAAAAAAAATACTGAGCGTTTATATATTTTTTTGCTGAAAGATTTTCTAAAAAGTTCTGAGTTGTCGTCACGCTTATCAGTTTATTTGATTATATTTGACAGCTCCAAAGAGTTGTTTGGCTACCGAGTGCTGAGGGCTCGGCGATCGTTTGGATAATTCAAGAGCCACATGTGAAAAGGGCATACAAGCTTTTTGTAAACAAACCTCTTCTCGTCAACCAAGGGTCGCCCATGCAAACTAACAACATCATCGGGAAGGGGAAAGCTACCCCTATCCGAAGATGTTAATGGTTTGCGTAGGAGTCATATGGGTGGTGAGAAAAGGACATAAGAAGGTTTGTTCTTGAATTTCAATATATGCTATTGAAATTTTCCAAACGATCGCCGAGTTTTCAGCTATTCTATTCATTATTGTGAGTTCAGTAAAAATATGTTAATGTGTGTACTAATAACAACATATAGCAAACTATGTTAAAACTGCATATAGGACAGTTGTATCATCTTAAAATATTGATCGTACACCCTAGAGGACAATTTTTTTAAACATGGTGATTTTTTTCTTAATTGTGGCTTATGGCTGAACAGATGTTTATTGATTTATTGCTATAGTTTTGGTCTTTATTGGAAGAGCTGAAGTTAGATTTATTTTAGTAAAACGCTCGATTTTCAACTTATTACCTAGTGGACGAACTTTTGTAAAATTAGTGGCATTTGAATGATCCTTGCTACTACGACTTAAAATGAGCAAAAATTCAATGAGTTATGATCATTTTATTTCAAGAAAATAAGGTTTTTCAAGAAAAGGGCGTTTTCCTTAAATTGCTCTATTTTTTTTTGTAAAATCAACCAAATATACCTAATATTGAGACAATAATTGATAAATGTATGATGAGTCATCTGCCAAAAATTGAGTGCTCGAAACAAATAGCAACAACATGCAAACCCGTTTTTGACGTTCATTTAGCCGATCCGAGCTACTCCTAGTTGCTTGTAACGGTGTTCCTTTAGCCAAATACGATCGACTCTCAGTTAGTGAGCATGAGCATCAAGCAAATGGTGAACGATTTTTCCCATGCTTAATTCTATCCAAGCATTTCCTAGTATATTTTGAGAAGTCGAATTGATATGCGGTCTTGGAAAAAGTTGTTAGATGTTCTGCATAGTTTGTTCAGTTAAAGGCTCAGGTTTGGTAAAAATTTTGCATTTTTTTTTTAATTTTTGACATGCAACTGAATAGTTTCGTTCCGTTTTTCATACAAACTTTAATGTTCTCTCGCAAATACTTATCGAAATCAAATTCGTTCCAATTTGGCACAGTTTTTGGGAACCTTATGCCAGATCGAAAGAGCAGTGGGAGCAGGTTGTGATCCACCATTCAAACCTGATCCACCCTGCTGGGCATACTGGGGAGTTATAACATGTTTTTTTGTTTTATTGTTGTTTTACATCAACAGGCTATATAATTATAAGAATATCTAGATGATCGATAATTATTATAACATGTTATAAGTTGCAGTATGAACAAGGCAGTACAATATTCCCAATCCTTAATTCTATAAATAAATATTGAATTTATTTTCAGCTAACGCCATCATTGATCGGTAACAGGCCAAATAGCTACACATTCACCAAGGCTATGGCAGAACATATGCTGCTCAAAGAAGCAAAAGGCCTTCCTGTTTCGATAGTTAGACCTTCCATAGGTATGTATGTGGTTATGTAATAATATGAGTACCGTGCCAGCACCATATTTGACGCGTCCGTAATGATGAAGCACTCGTCTAATTTTTATCGCATCTCGATTTTGACAAGATATTTTTCAAAACTTTGTTACACCATCATCCCTAGAGCACAGGAACTAATATTTGCAGAAGTAACATTTCAAAAATAATGATTGAAAATAGTCGAACATTATTGAGTGCCTCGATTTAGGAACCGCTTCGAATATTGTGCCTCCACGGTAATGGTTGTTAGTGCTAGTGCTGACAGTTTTCAACACTTTTGTCTTTGTTATTATATCTTATCTGTTAAACTATATCAGATAAATTATGCATTTGATTTCAAAATTATTACAAAAAAATGTAGAGCCTGTAGACTTGGAGACATACTTCAAGTCTCCGCGTACATCGTACGGGTTAGGCAAAGATGTGCGTCTATCTTTAAAAACTGTCGCATTAATGGCCCTTCGCTCATTTTCAACTTCTATTCAATTTTCATACTGCCGTACTCTAACGGAACTATCCACCTACCCTCTTCTAAAAAAAAGATCATTCTCTAGCTAATAAATTATCACACTAAAGCTTCATGTTAGCATTTTCCAACCAACTCCACAAAAAAATCGCCTATTTTTGGAATTTTTTCAAAGCTTTTGTTTTTTGTATGATCATAAATTACAAATTATAATATAAAACTAAGTAAAGGTAAGAGGGGCCTGTTCACTAGGTGGGGCATAGTGAGCATCCCGTGCACCAGCTTGGACTTCCGGCCGTTCGGAACAAATTGGTTGGTGGTAGGATCAATATCATAATGATATTGAACCTACTGCCAGTTGATTTGTTTCATGCAGCTAGAGATCCAGTGTCAAACTACGGGATGCTCACTATGCCCCTCCTCCCCCTACCGTTGAACACACCTGTATGACGCGAATCCTAACACGACGCACTTAATAATTTTCGACTACCATTAATACTAAGTGATATTGAGCAAAGTTTTTTTTTATATCGTTAAAATCGAGAAGCGATCAAAAATAGACGAGTTTGTCATCATTAGAAACCGCGTCAATTATACTAGCACTGCACAGGTTTTCGTGTTTTTTTTAATGATATGGAGTTCTAATGGTGTTTTTCGTTTCTGGCATATTCAAAATCTAATATCAAAATAATATATATTATTTGCCATATCTACCTTAAAACCCCTGTCTCACCTGGCCATTCAAATTGTTTATATTAGATAGCAATAATTTGCTGTACCGCTTCATGTTCTATTTTGTTTTTAGTTCTTTCCAGTTTCAAAGAACCAGTCAGTGGATGGGTAGATAACTTTAACGGTCCAACTGGTATTGTCTCGGCTGTCAGCAAAGGTTTATTCAGAACCATATTGTGTGAGGAATCCTGCGTAGCGGATTTGATTCCTGTTGATTTAGTCATAAACCTCATGATAGTAACTGCTTGGTATACTGCATCTCGGAAAGGCGCAAACAATATCACAGTTTACAATTGCACAAGTGGCATTGATAATCCTATAACCTGGGGATCTTTTGTACGTATGTGCATAGATAATATGAGAAAACACCCTGTCGGTGAGTATAATTGTTTCAAATTAATTAAGAATCTATGTTAACCTTTTTTTTTTAGAGGGCGTTCTGTGGTTTCCAACGGGGAACCTGCGTACCAATAAAGCGTTGAATTTGATTCATGGTTTTGTAGTACATTTCATTCCGGCTATTCTATTAGATTTAATTTCTATCGCAACTGGACGAAAACCAATGTAAGTGTGACATTGTCAGAAGTATAGTTATTATATATTGTTCTAACAACATCCTATTTTATAGTATGAAGATCGTTCAAATGAAACTGGGTAAAGCCGCAACATGTTTGCAATATTTTACTAATGCTCAGTGGCGCTTCCGTAACGATAATGTAAAGCATCTATTGACTCATCTGAGTTCCGAAGATAGAAATACATTCCAATTTGATGTCGGCACGATTGATTGGCACGAGTACATCGAAAAATATGTACTAGGCTTTCGCGAATACTTGTTCAAACAAAATCCTCTGTCTCTAGAAAAATGTAGAAATAATATGTACAAGTAAGTATGACCATATAATCGCAATGAGATAATCCAACTTTAATGTGCTATTTGTTTTAGATTGTATATTGTACATCAGTTATTCAAACTAGTAATGATCGGATGCATGTGGCGATTTCTTCTGAAAAAATCGGATCGGTTACGTACTATTTGGTCGAAGCTTCTAAATGCTTTCGCACGAGTTATCAACGTATTAGCTCTTTTCTAATATTTTGTTCATCTAGAAAATGAGAGGGGGTTGCAACATCTATTTAATTTATTAGTCCATATGTATATTTATTCCAAACATGAGAATTTATCCGGGCAGAAGATAACATGCATAATACAACAATACCAAGTGAACCGCTTGTAATGACTACTTTTTTTATTATCCGAAATATTATGTGTACATAATCGACTGTTTGTTATCCTCCGCACGCATCCTATATATATATATATATATATATATATATGCACTTGTTTGAAAATTCTTATAAGTCACACTTTTATCCACTAGGAATTTTTTTCAGCTTTTGGATGCACTTAATCTTCTCCTTCCTCTGGTCCCTCTCCAAGGCCATTATTAAACACTTTGCCGAAGGTGGGAGAGCTTAATCTCATGCTGTAAGCCTGCATGGGGGACCAAGACAGTGGCCTGAAGTGATGGTATTCCATATTATTTTCATTCATTTCTTAGCCACGTCGCAGTACGTTTATATGAAGGCACTGACATCTGGTGTGATCAGTGCTGTTAAAAATCATTTCTAACACTCAATTTAGCTGAAAATGAAAAAAAAAATCTTAGCAGATAGACTAAAGGCCCAAGCGCAATGACAGCGGAAGCAGAACGGCAATGACGGCGGAAAAGCCAGATCTGAGTAAGCCTACTTGTCTGATTGAAAACTAGTTAGAATCAAATTGACTTCGGTTTCCGTTTCTTTTCCGCCCACATTGCGTTTGGGCCTTTAGTCTATCTGCTAAGATTGAATTTGAATTTTGACATGACAACATTCTCTTGATCAAAGCAACCTATTGACCAATGCACGGAATGAACTTACGAAAAAAAAATTACTTTTGAGCGGTGCCGTGTTTACTAGAAATGAACATGCTCCATGACATATTGCTGCCACCACTCCATATAAAATTAAGAATTGCTTTGAAATTTACCCAAGTGGCCACGATGTTGAAGTAGTTTATGACTGTTTACAGGGCATCTTTCCAAAACTCAGCACTGACAAAATTACAACGGCCAAAACAACTATAAGAGTCGATCGTAGGATATTGAAGTGTTCAGTAAAGTTACTCGTGCTTATGTAAGATAACCATGCCTAAATATGCATGATTTGTAAGTTATGGTCAAAACCGTGAAACAAATTGCATGTTTTAGCTTTCTGCATGGCCCTTGCCATGTTCACAGAAGTTTTGTATTTTGATGTGAAGAATATTTCGTCAGCAGACTGCATTGAGAAATACTAAATACCTAGGTTACGTGATATAGCCGTACAAAACCAAAGCGCGAGTCAAAATATTGATGATGGCATAAATCAAAATTTCGAACTAAATTCTCAAAACCCAAATAGGGTTTTACTAGTTTGGGTGGGTACTTGCAGAAGCTGAAGTTCGAATTTTGTTTGCATTTTATGTGTTACACTGTGTAATGTACATTCTAACTCTATTCCAAATACTTTAGAAAAAACTAATTGAAATTGCAATTTTCAATTATCGAGTTGAAACGCGCGGCGAAGGTGAAACGGTACGTGTATCTCTTAGTGAAAGTTAATATTCACTGTAACTATTTTTGAGAGGCATTGTGTAGGACTGCAAACTACTAGATTAGAAATAATCTCAGTGATTAATCATTTCCGGTAAGAGATACACCTACCGTTTCAACTTGCCCCGGTATACCTTACAGAAAACATTTCAATGTAGATCACAATCTTCACCAATGTGAGTGGTTCGTGATTCAAGGGCTGCAAGAAACGGATTACCATCTTATCCAATTCCGGTTGCTCCATCTTATCCAATTCCAAAGTATCGCAATCCTAGACTCACCGATATTCGTAAAAAAATGTGAAAACGCATTTAATGCGGTATTTTTTATATAGGCCTGCCTTTTGTAAATCATAGATCTTGGGCAGCATTTCCCAATATTTTTTAATGATCAACTTTACTTAGGAGACCCTGACCCTAGCATGCTCTATTTAAAAGATAAAATCGAGTGCATTCTAGGCGGTGGGAACAAGAACTAAACAGAAACCTTAAAAAGTTGGTGCTTTGTAAACCGTGCACCTTTGAAGAAGACCGTAGAGCTGTAGACAATATTCCATCGGCTCTAGAGATTTTGGCCACGCTACCGGCGTAACTGGCCTAATGTTCTTCTGTAATGTGGCAGTATATGTGAGAGTTTTTATTTTTCTATTTATTTTGTCATCTTGTATGATTTATTGTTTCAAGTTTTCAAAGCTTTTTAGTGTTCGATACAAATACAAAACTAACCAACGATTAATTTATTGAAGCATATGATTGAGCAGGATATGATAGATGTATCTGAGCCGGGGCCCTGGTTTTAGTCTACCATCGCCCTACCGTTAATACGGCACTGTTTGTGGATTATATCAACGTATAATACTCAGGCTTGCCTAAGCTCCTCAAACTCAGATTATGCCGTATAGATGCTCATTTATCGTGAGCTATTTCATCCCTCACATATAAAGAGCAATGATGTAAAATCCAAAGAGCGCAAAAGAGCTCGAGCTCAGATTGATACTCAAGCTGGACTTCCACAAACACGCATCACGATGAGTGATGCGGGGTCGTTCTTGGGTGAGGAATGATTTACATCAGCTCTGCTCAGCAAACAACATTTTGAACTTCTGGATGGACTCGGTGAAACGGTGAGCTTCGTTATGCTTTCGGAGAGAGCACGCACGGCCTTTGATTGATGCACGGTTCTTCCATTCAATATTATGATACACAACAATACATTCAATGGACTATAGGACCATTCCCAGAGAACGTAACATTTTAAGAGATTGATGTTTTTTAAACTTGGGGACCACTTTTTGGGTTACTCAAACTCAGTCACAAAAATCTTTGATCGTTTTTTTTTCCGCTAAGTGCTTTATGAATGGATATACGAAATTATATTTCTGACGAAACTAGTAAAAGCACTAATTACTACGTTTATGGATTATCCCTTGGTGGTGTTTTCGTATTCTCCTGTTGCCTTTTAACATGTTCATTCATTCAATTCGCTACTCTCGCTGCACACACGGTAGCTCGGAAATCTTTCTGGACCAACAATTGAAATAGGCTGAACAACCCAACGTAAGCAATGGCTTTAAATAAATAATTCTCGAGAATCAAAACACTACCACGTAAACTAAAATTGACATTCGATAAAGGAAGTTTGCTCTATCAGATGATGGTATTAGATTGTTTGGATGTGCTTTGATTTTCGAGGAATTTGCGTTAAAAACAATTTTTTTTCCGTTTGGTTGTTCCGCCTATTTCAATTGTTGGTGTAGCGTTGCCGCATGTCGTTGTTGATGTCGCAGAAACGCAAATCAAATTTTGGTACGGCTCTGTTCTTCAACAAGTTAGGAGATTCAGTAGATGGTGAATTAAAGTGTAAATCTTGTGAGAAAAAATTAAAACAAAACACAACTTCAATTTGAAAAGAAATTTAAACCAATGTTAATTGAAAAGTTATTCAGTGAACGCGTGATAATTATAGGTAGTATATTTATCACGCGTTCATCGATTAACATTTTAAATAATCAGCTGGGTAAAAAATGCATTTACTCTACCTCAAAATTCAGCATAGCATTATATTTGCAATGTGCAACTCATACATGATAGAAACGCGTAGAATTTTTGTATCTACGACTCTATGTATGTATTCCCGGCATAGCCCAATATCTCTTGAATCTCAATTGCGATTTTAGTTTTCAACACAAGAGATGATCCGCTATTATTATTATATAATACGAGACAGTTGAAATGCCGAAATCGTGGTTTAGTTTACAAACACGAGAGCTATTATGATTTGCCTTAAATAGGGGCGTTTACCGAGAATATACACAGTTATCATACGAATACAATTGTCACTTTGGAGCTAAGGAATATATGCATAGGGTAGAGCGCTACTTCGTCGTAATCGCCCATTTCCGTTCTATCGATCAGAAAAGATCAATTATATCAATGATTTCAACGTGCACAAATCAATTATAGGTTTGTTCCGATGCGCTAGCTCATTAGCTACAACATAAATCCTGTTAGAGCGCATTGCATGAATATTTACGCTCATTGTTCTCAAAACAAAAGAAGCGCTCCTAGCGAATCCCCTTTTTCTACGTTTATCCGTAGGACGAAGAAAATCTAATGGCGTTTCAATGCGTTAGGACGGAATTGAAACTCGTAGAACGAATTTAGAATCAAGAAGCAGTGTTAGATTTTAGACAATATCTCAACAATTTGTGACTCTTTATCAAATCCAACGGTACGTATAGAAAGGTGAATAAATTTGCAAGTCATATTTGACAGACATATTACATTTTTTGTTTAAAATCGTTCAGCAAAGGGAGGTAAAGCGCGGGTTGTGCTTAGTAGGACGGAAATTAGATCAAAAACCTTACGTTCCATTTTTTTTTTAATTTCGTGGTTGTGCACTTCTTTCTCGAATACAACACAAAATCACTCATTCATGAGCACTGGGAAAAGCTAGAGTCGGTGTATAATGAGTCACGCCAAGAGAAAAACAGTTGAACTCGCATCACGGTTTTCGAAAGATTTCCTTTCTTTTCACTTGGCAACAGAGGACTGCTACATCAACTTCAAATGACTTCTAGCGAGCAAAAAAAATAGCGGCTGTTGTAAATCATTCTATCAGTGATTTTGTCCAATCATCTTAACAAAAAATAGTAGAAATTCTCATTACTGATCGTTACCAAACGTATCCCATGACAATTTAATGCTCACTGCGTGTTTATGATCATTTCTTCGATTTTATTTTATATTTTATTGCGATACCTTTCGTGGACCTTTCATAGCATCGTAATGTTTGTTTACTTTGCACGATAGGTAGCCAGTTTGACAGTCCAATAGGTAGACTTGGCTTCACTCTTGGCGTGACTCATTATATACCGACTCTAGGAAAAGCCATCAAGAGCCAAGCTCTCTACGAATACATCACGAAGCTCCAAGTTTACTGCTTTGCGCGAGCGCATCACGAAGTTAAAATTTCTGCTCGGTAGGCAGAGTCGATGTACACCCGAGAACGAGCTCCGCATCCCTCTCAGCGATGCGGGTAGGCAAGAGCCCAGCTTGAGCATCAAGTATTATAGCTCCGTGAGAGCAAAATGTATCATCATCAAAATATGCTGGAGCTCAGCTTATTGATGACTCTTGATGGAGCTTTTGGCAAGCCTGCCTATACTACAGGCCATTGATCATGCTCGATGTTATATTCTGTTTTTCATCCACCTCAGTTGGAAAATATGTCATCTAGTTTAGTTTTTTAAAAGCATAATATATTGTATTATTAGCGGAGTTGGTTAATAATTTTACTTTATTCATTTCCACTAAGCTTTGAACCACCGTTACGAAATTTAAAATAATTATTTTAGGTGCATATTATTCTTATTACATATCTGTCGTAATATTTCATTGTGTCTTCACATGACATCAAGAACAAAGCTTGTAAACGTGCGTTCTAGGTAGCAGCTTAATTGTTATCCGCGAGTAAGAGTATTTGAAGCTGAATGAATTATTCCTGTCTATGTAGGACATAACACTTTCAAAATGTAGTCGGTAAGAAGAGTCGGGACGGTCGGACTATCTTCGTTTATGGCTTTCAATACTGGAACGAAACAAAAGGGTTATACATGTGTTCAACTTGTTCTTAACGTATTTTACTTACTTTTAATGAGAATTTGCAGGGTTTGATTATCTGGTGCTGTGTCCAGGTTGTACGGTATAACAGTAGTAAGATACTTTGGTTCCGTTCCATCTAGAAAAGATGCATATTTTATATCAACTAAGATTCTTGTTTCAAGTACAATTGATTTCATATAAAAAAAATCATATCGAGAGCCACATGTGAAAAGGGCATACAAGCTTTTTGTAAACAAACCTTTGTAGGCCCGCTTCTCGCCAACCGAGGGTCGCCAACGCAAACTAACAACATCAATGTAACAACCTTCCCCCACAGACAAACAGACGTAACTCTTTGAAAAAGTTTTTCTTGAAAACATAGTATCACAAACGAAGTGACAGACGGAGCGGCTCGAAAACTTTGGTGACTAACCTGCTATTTCAATTTTTCAGTGTACCACATGGCAACACCACTACTACTGGATTGTACCACATGGCAACACTACTACTGGATTGTACTAGCATTTTCACCAAATGTATTAGAATGTTTTGGTTCTATCTCTTTCACTCTACTCAAAACTGAAATGCATAAAAAAATGACAAAATGATACACTCTTTACACACTGTCAAAGAATCATTGTACACAAAATCAACAAAACAAAAAAACTAACCCATCTGGTGGATGATGGCACAAGCTTCCAAGAAAATTCTATTACAGTGAACCACATTATTTTAATGGATTTCTACGTCAGTTAGTCATCTGTCACTTCGTTTGTGATAGTATCTCAAAACATATGACCTCAGTAACGATATCTCTCGGGCTTCTCGCGGAAAACAAGCTTGCTCGCTAACTCCCAAACAATATTGTATAAAAGTTCTATAGAATGTATAGAAACGTCAAAGTGATCCGATGCCAGCGCTGCGGCGAGTAGTTCGCGAAACTGATAATATTCAAATCAACCGTTAAATGCGTGAACGAAGATACACAATGAAGAGTTACGTATGTTTGTCTGTGCTTCCCCTATCCGGCGATGTTGATGGTTTGGTGGCGTTGGTGTCATATGGGTGGCGAGAAAAGGGCATAAGAATGTTTGTTTACAAAAAGCTTGTATGCCCTTTTCACATGTTGTTCTTGATATGATTAGTGTGATTTGATGTTCTTCTTCAGAACAGTGACCAGATTAGTGCATGTAGAGAGATTTTTATTTCTTGTGAATAATTATGTTTATGTAGGTATATAAATGTGATGCTTCACGACACACAAAATACAGTGAGCAAATTTCCATAAACATATGATATTCTCTAATACAGCGTTTCTCAGTCTATGAGGTGCGACCCATTGGTGGGTTGCGTGCTGTCTTTAGGTGGGTCGCAAAAATTCAGATATTAATTGATTAATTGGATTAATTGTTTTGGCGTTTTCATAACTGCTCCATCATTTAATTTCAGGGTACTTAGGCATTTTAAGACCACTTTGGAGATTTCAATGCCATTGTGGCATTTTAAAGTCAAATTGCAATGTTTAATTTTGACTGTATTGGGTCATTTTTAGCGTCTAGCCACACTAATAACATTTAAAGATTATAATGACTTGGCAACCATCATAACGATGAACCTTTAAAAATTTTGCCCGGGAGTTTCTAAAACAAATATAGGTAGGTTTTAACTTTTAACCAATCATATCAACAATCAAATCAATTAAAAGTACTTAATCTAAAAAAACAAGCGCTTTAAAGTTCTAGGCCATATAGGGGAAAAGTTGGCTTCGGCAATACCTTAACCTATTATCGTCAGGGGGGTAAACAACGTCCTTGAGAGCTCAATTTTGGCATGCGGATACATTGTGTTTCAGAGCAACTATTGGCCAAATTTAAGTGCTCTAAGACTTTTGACCCCCCTGACGATAATAGGTTAACGTATTGCCGAACTTTTCCCCTACAATGATGTATTACTGTAAAAAAAATAAATCTGCATTAGAGTAGTTCCAGGCCAAATTGGGGGAGATTGTTCATTGAAACTTCCGGTCCGCTTCGTAGCATAGTGCTTGCTAAGAGGTGCCAGGTGGTAACCCACTGATTACCTGACGATCGGCCAAATTTGGAAGACGTCTGCATTGAATTGTCTCACATTGTAATATTCCGCCCACTATATCACAATCAATTGCGAGTAGCTGAGCGGAATGGAGACAAGGAAAGCATTTGGTACAGGACCAAGTCTCTCCCGGCTGGCGCCAAAACAATGAATCTGGATGCAACTGGATCAAGTTGTCATGGGGCACGAAATGATCCTGTTGCATGGCTTGGAGCTGTTGCAATCGAGGAAGGGGGGGTTGGTGCTAATGTTTAATTTGTTTTTGTATAATTTCAGGTGTTAAGGTGGTTCGCTGCCTCTGGATAGTGGGTTTGACGGTGGTTCAGCAAGAATAATATTGAGACATACGGGAATGAGACAAACGTGTCAAATTAACTGCATTGGTAACGAAAACACAGAGGAGCGTACACCTGATGTCACACACTAAGGTGATGGTAATAAGGTCGGTGATAATATGACATTTACACAAAAGCGGAGATCAAATCAGATTGGTCAACGTACCAAAATTCGAAACTTCGATTAAAACGTGGAATCTGTGCAGCACCAGTGGAGAACACTCAAAAGCTGCAGGTCTCATCAACCGCTGCCTGCGGTATATAACTTGTGGCTGGTGGCCTCACAAATGGATCTCAGATGTAAATGTCATCAGAAGCCGATAGCAATAGAAACGAAGTCTGCAGGCAAGCGTTTGATTATGAATTAAATCCGCCAGAACATCGCAGCAAAGGCAAATCAAATACCAAGGCGGTGGAGCGTCAACAAGGAATTTAAGCAAGGCGATAGGAATTTGACCAGGGCCCAGGTCAAGCAGCTGCCCAGAATGGAAGTCTTTCACGTTGGCCCTGTGCACCTCTGGATGTTCCCAGGTATTTTAGTACGACGACGATGGACGTTGTCCCTTGGAACGGAATGAAAGCGAACAAACTTGATGTTGCACAACAAGCCAACGTGTTTTTTTTTTTTTCAGCAGAACAACAACATCCTCTATCTCTCTTCTTTATTCTTTTAATCTCTTACTATCCCCTAATCGGACGCTAGTGGGACCAAAAAGCCTGCTAGTGAAAGGAAAGTCGTTATGCTATACGGTCTAGCATAGGCCACGACTAAATTTCCGTAGGTTCATGCCTGGCTTAAGTGCAGATCGGTAGGCAGCAGCCTGCCAGGGTGTGAACTGAGCAATAACAATAACAATTAGAGTAGTTCCAGGCCAAATTGCAAATAAAATTACATTTTAGACTCGTCCTTTTCCGATTTGCATTAAATATATTGTTTGTAACTTACATAACGCCAAAATTGGCATTTTTGGCACCCACCAACCCCTACGTAACATTTTTGTAAAACCAACCCTTCACCCCTTTTTTAATACCATTAAATTATATAAAATTTTAGTTCTCAATTCTAGTTAAAAAAACTATAGCTTAGAATCATACTGCTAGTCAGGATACAAAAGTCTGATTTATTTTTAATTTAGCAATGCGTTGCACGCAACTAAAACGGGTGATCGCCCACCCCGTACTTTGAATTTAACATCTGGTAACGCATTGATGAATACCCACTCACCCCTTAAGCATTACGTAATTTATGAATGGACCTTATCTTGGAAAATTCACACGGTACATTATGTGTAGTAATTTTCGGGTACAAATCCAAAAATGTGTTAAAAACTTAAATATTGAACAACGTCCTTGTTAATAACTTTTGAAATCTTGTCCGCGGGCCTCAGCTACAACGTATACCTCGTCTAATTTAACATAGCATAATGAGTGTAAGATTAGACGAATATATTTTCCCCTATACGTATATTTGTTATGAGGTGAGGTGATACAGTAGGACATTTTTTTTAATTTGATTTCCGTCGATCTTGGAGGCAGCTCCCACATCTGGACCGTACCTATTCGGCCCATCAACTTATAGACCGGGGACCAACGGCTTTACTTCCCTTCCGAAGGAAGGCGTGATTAGAGCTGTTATGCCTCAGAAAATCCCGGCGGTGCCGACTGGGATCGAACCCAGGCCTTTTGGGGTGAGAGGCAATCATGCTTACCACTATACCACTTATTTGTAATAGTAGATTTTTGTACAAACTGGCCGCTAAGGCATGCTGAGGTTGACTAGACCAGAGTGTGCAAACAATAATATTGTGAGAATTTCAAGAAAAGTTCGTTATCATAAAAATTTCATATCATTGTTTTGTAATATTTATTAAAATGCAACATATTTGATTACGTAACATGTGACATAAGTCAATCTAATGGTAGAGCTGATTTCTTACGTCTGGATTCAACTGGACCATTTAGTGTATCTTTAAACCATTTTCACAGCTTTCGTTGAACAATTCAATTATTTATGTTCCAGTTTTTTTTTATTTTAAAAATCTAAAGAGTTTTTATCACGACCCACCTAATTTAGTGAAACCATTCATGTCTTGACTAATTGTTTATTGCACATTGAACTAGAAGTTTCAAAAATAGCACTAAAACAAATAATGGAAACTTGTGTTTGTTTCTTCAGAAGAAAATTTTGTTTTTACATTTCTACACACTAATAAAAAAAAAACAAAAAAAAAATATATATAAAAACGATTCATTACGAACGTGAAAAGAAATAGCATTTAACATATCCTATCCTAATCCTATACCAAAATAAAAAAATCTTTCTTTGAAATAACAATTAATCTAACGAGTAAAATTTACCGACAGCTCAGTAATTCTTACATAACTTTTTTAGTTCGGTAGTTAATATCAACGTTCAGCTGTTGTTATTTGGGTAAAATTTTACAGAAATTTGTATTTTTTTGTGTGTGTACATGTTTAGGAGGGGTGTATACGTTACTTTGTTATCACACGGCAGTTTATGCCGTCTGACAACAAAGTAACGTATAGGCCACAAGGCCAATTTCCACTTTGGGTTCGTTCACGTAACGCGTTTAGTGGTTCCCCATCTACTGTGTCACCTGACTTATAACGAATATACTAGACTGATGCAAAATTTGAAATGTTCGCTCCACAGTGCTCAAACGGTTTCAAATCAGGTCCTGATTAGCCT